CCATAGTACAACCAACTATTCTATATAGTTCGGAAACATGGCCAACCAAAGAATCAGACGAGAGAAGTCTACAAACTATGGAGATGAGAATGCTGAGGATGATTGCTGGGGTAACAAGAAAGGATAAGGTGCGCAGTACAAGAATACTAAATAGTTTAAAGGTAGTGCCCATTAAGACTAAGTTAATGGTAAACAGACTTAGGTGGTATGGGCACACAATGAGAAGGCCTATGAACTACATAGGAAATAAAGTTGAAAGATTGGAAGTGATGGGCAAACGTAAAAGAGGAAGGCCAAAACTTCAATGGGGCCATAAAGTTAGAGCCAATATAAAGAAGTATAAAATAGATAAAAGAGATTGTACGAATAACATAAAGTGGAGAGAGATGTTGAAGGAGCTTACCACCAGAAAAGGTGAAAGCTAAAGAGAAAAAAAAAAAAAAAAAATAATTCTTATAAATTTTTTATTTTTTTATATTATTCTTAAATACTTATAATTATAATATATTAGTTTCATCTATGATGGCAAAAATTTTAATAAATAATATTCATAATTAAAATTATATGCGATGGAATTGCTTCAATAAAAATAATTTAATTTGTTTTATAACTACAATACAATGAACCTTTATACCTTTAAATTAGCTGAACCGAACCAAACTTTTATAAATTTTTACTTAAGAACCATAAAAATTATGATTTTTTATATACTAAACCGTAACAAAACTGAACCATTAAAAATAAAGGTTCTAGTCCCTGAAAAAAACACCTAAATATTTTAGTGCCCCAAATAATATAAAGTGGCCATAAAAAGTCAGCTATGGCGCCATTTTGTGGTTTGCACGTCAATTAAATGACATTAAATGGCATTCATATAATAATTAAATAAAAACAATAAATCGAAGTGCAACCCATAAAATGGCTCTACAGCTGACTCCCATGTATGGACATTTTTAATTAATGAATCGTCAATCTAGTAGTATATAGATCAATAAGTAAAGGAGTTTGCATCCAGTGAAAATTCTGTCATGTAGACGCTGATATCAAGGAATCTGCCATTTTTATTTTCAATGGAATTGGTTAATTTAATTTTATTATACTAATTTTAAAGATTTATTATAGATTAATATTAATTGTGATGAAGAGGAGAAATAATAATCAATGAAGCATCAATAAGTTCAGACATTGTTTTTCCATGGCCAATTTATAGAGCACATTTTAAAATTATATCTCAAATTAAAGAAAACAAATCTCTTATAATAGTAAAATGTTTGTTATGTTTTTCAAAAAATACTACTAAATAAATGTTTACAATTATAATTTTAAATTTTAAGAGAAAACATCAAACACTGTTCATGAAAAAAACAATTAATACATAGATTAGTTGAATACAAATAACCTGTGAAAAAAAATAAAAATAATTTAATATCCGATTTTTTTCAGTATCCCCCAGCAGCAGATATGATTGTTAATAATGATTTCAATTTTGATACTCAACAAGTTTTAAATAATTTTTCAAAAATGAATGTAGAGATAGAGTATTTTTAAAGAATATCCTGTATAAAATTGTTATTCATAAAATATAACACCACAATCCCATCAAGCGTTCCAGTACAAAGACTTTTTAGTGTAGCTAAAAATGTCTTTTCAGGTAAACGAGGATCTCTTGACCAAAATTTTGAAAATATTTTATTACTAAAATCTAATAATTATTTATAATTATTTAATCATATATTTTCATATATTATATTAAAATCTAAAATCATTATTTTAATTATAATTTGATTATCAAGTCAATAAATTTTTTAACTCAATTCATTAATTTAACTCAATTCATTAATTTTAAGAATAGAATCCAAATTTAGATTAATGCAAAACTCTTATAAGAGCATAATAAAAATTGTATCTGTGTCTAGATTAAAGGTCTGCATTGGGCGGGGTTTTCATCTAAGTAAGCGAGGGGGGGGGCAAGCAAAAAATTTTTAAGAACGGGCAGGCGTGTTAAAAAAATTTTAAACTATGGGTGGGTTATGAAATTTAAACAATGGGCGAGCGGGTTAAAAAAATTTAAAATCATTTTAAAAAATATTAATAAAAAAAATTGCTCTATGAACTTTTTTGGATATCAATGTCCTTTTTTAGTATCATAACAAATTTTTTCTTAAAATATATAAACTTTTTTTTATATTTAAAACTATTTAGCAAAAGATTTGTCAAAGCTATCAAGATTAGCAAGAAAAATATTCACAATTCCTGCAATTCTGAAAGAGGATTATTAGTATTGCTGGATATATTTTTAGAACAAAGAAGTTGGTGTTTGAATCCAGAATTAATTGATTGTAAATAATTATTTTGTCATTATAATTACATATAATATCAATTTTATATTTATCTTTTTTTCTATTTTATTTGATCAATTTGAAAAAATTGCCATAAAAATTTTTTATAATAGCGGGCTTGGGTTAAGATTTTTTATAAAGGGTGAGCTGGTAAAAAATTTTAGAGGGGGGGGGGTAAAAAATTTAGACTAATGGGTGAGCGGGTTAAATTTTTTAAAACATCGGGTGGGCGGGCAGTTAAAACCGCCCAATTCAGACCTCTAATCTAGATACATTTTTCAAATTGTATATGTATCTAGATAACTTTTTAGACGATATATATGTATATAGATCCATTTATAAAGTATCTTTTAACAACTCTGATTGAGTGTATTGAAAAAGATACTATCTAGCTGATAGAATATTATTTTTTTTACTTTTAAAAATAAAAAGATGAATAAATTTTATTTTATAAAGGTATTGTAACTAAAATATCTAAAAAATAATTTTTTATACTTGTCCAAATATTTATTTAAATTATAAAAACTAATTTTTTCTTAATTAATATAAGGTTAAAACCCACTGAAATATGATAGGAAATATAAAACAAGAATATTCAAGTACTTACAGCCAAACGATATTTAGTAATAAATAATTTGCGTAAATAATATATAATTTTTTATGTGGTTAACTAAGCAATAAATAGACCCACCATTTAGGGAGTGAATTTTAATTTATTAATTTTCACTAAAATAAATAAAAACTTAAAAATAAAATATTAATGGCTACAATAGAGCATTGTCAATTTTGTAGTATTTTCATAATTATACTAAATGCACACTGTATATGATATCATCTGATTTTATAAACATCCGTGGTGAACCTTTTTTAAATTTTGTAAAAAATTTACTATAAAATATGTATGGAAATAGTTATAAGTTAAATATTGGCATAATTTTTTATTCAGCTAATTATTTCTATAACTAAATTAAAAAGATTGTTTCTATGTCATATAATTTGATGATTTGTACTGGTTATTTATGTTTATTATGCTTTCAATAAATTCTCATAAATAAAATTGAAACGGAGCATATTGAAGAAAAAATCATTCATATTTGCATTTTGTTTTATCAAATAAAATTCTCACAACCAAAATTTTTTAGGCTATTATTTGGAAATAGTAATAAATTATACTTCAATTTTTTACTTATATTAATCTAATAATCTTTCTCAGTTTTAACAATTTTAGAAGTGGCTCACTCCAATAAAACTAACGTCAATTTATATTCTCTATTATAATTTATTTTATAAAGAATATATGTTGATATACTTATTTCTTCAGATGATTTAACTCTGCCCTGGCCCCTATATGAAATATTTTTTTATAGAAATAAAGAAAATTATGGACAAAGTCTACATTTTGTAAGTGTAGATTTTGCCCTCATTAAAATATTTCAACCGGATGCCCAGCAACTCAAATCTAAAAAAATATGAAGGTAAATTCAGATTAAATTCTGACAAAAATAAAAGATTTGATGAAGATCTTAATATAGATTTTTGTGAAGATGATCTAATAAATTTTCTTGTAAATAAAGTTCATTCTTTAAATATTTTTAATAAATTCCCCCAATTAAAATTTTTAATTATTAAATATAATATAACCCCCATTCTGTGCCAGTTGAACATTAGCAGATCTATTGAGCATAAGTGCTCTTGTTTATCTGATCAAAATTTTGAAAATTGATTTTTTAAAATATATATTTAGAAATTTTTAAGTAGTAACACATTACTTTTTTTTCAATAGGAGTAATATGTTCATTTTAAGTCAAATGAGTAATGATAATGTGTTCCTTTTTAATGCATAATAGTAACACATTTCTTTTTTGAAGTAATGTTTATAGCACTATTTAATGCCTCTATATAATTAATATATTTTAAGATTCTCTTTAGTCAAATCTATAAATGATAAATTTTATAGTTTACATCATTCCTATATTCTAACTTGTATAGATGGCATAATTAATAATATATTAAATATAATCATCTTTTAAACAATAAGGATATTATATAAGTTGGTGATCTGCATTGGGCCTAATTTTTCAACTATTCCATGCCAAAAATTATTTCAAAAAAAAACGTCAAGCCCAATCTTGAACAATTTTTATTTATTTAACCTGACCCCTCCTATATTATTTGCTTGCTTGGCCCAAATTTTTTCAAAATAGTTTTATATTTAAAAATAATATACATAAAAAAATATTGGTGCCTTATTTCCTACAAAAATTAATATATATCAAATTATTTCACAAAATTGCATGATATTCAATGTAAATATTAAAGCCCTGTCAGACTGATTTTTTTTTAAAAAATATTAGGCATGACCTAGCCCAACCCAATTTATCTTTTAAAAAATAGATCCAGCCTAGATTTTGTACATCTCTAATATAAGATTCACAAGGATTTGGCTCAGATGACAATTTTTAACAATTAAGTTTCAAAGTAATATAAAACTTAATATAGATTTACAAATTAAGTTCATATCAAAGATTATATTAATTTTGAATATATAACTGTGTGGTTATTTATCTAATCTAATATTTAATTTGCACAGGTCCTTAAATAAGAATAAAAATAATTTTATTGAAATATTATTATATTCTCAATGCATGTTTATTAAAATTATAATGTTAGTAAATATATTAAAAATAAATTAAGTTGATTGTTTATCAATAACAAAAGATGTCTTCAAATATATGTCTTTTAAATTTCGCTGTCCATTTTTATCTATAATTTTTACTTTAAAAGCTGGTAAATTTACTAAAAGTCTTTTTTGTATCTAGATTAAATATAAAGGATTAATAAACTGTGCTATGTCTAACCTCATCAATAGCTTTTGTTAAAAGTAAATATGCATCATCTTCATTTAGATCTAAATATAATTGAAATTTCAAAATTAAATAAATTAAAATTACCTTTATTAAAATGCCTATCCAGTATAGAGTTAGCAAAAAATGCTCCATATCCTTGAGCTCCAAATGGAATAGGGATCAATGATGCTAAATAATCCAAAAAGAATAAGCAACTCTGATTTGTCTGTGGATCAAACCCAGCAATTATTGAATTTACATAATAAGGGCTTGACTAGAGTATTGTTAAATATTAAATTATAATATAAAATTAATACTGATCTAAGGGCATCAGCTAAGGTTCTCCTTGCAAAATGTGCAACTTTGAATGGATCTACATCATATCCTAAATATGAATTTACAAAGTTAATAAATATTTAAAAAAAATACCGTTTCTAAACTTATATAGTTGCATATTTTTTGATACATACTCAGCAAATTCGTGGCTATCGCCCTTTTCACCTACAACACCTATCATTACATTTTGATTAACACTGTACATTTTAAGGCTATCTATAAAAAAATATATATTTCATATATTAAATAAATAATTACCATGCTTTATAACCATAATGCTATGAGTTTCAGTAGCATCTGATGCCAAGAGAACAAAGTCTTTAAAACACATGCCCAATACGCACTCCATTATATATAGACCAAAAAATTATTTGAAATAAATGAATGACAGGTTAATAAATCTTTTTACATCTATCCATGAAACCTAAATATTAATTTGTAACAAATATTTCTTCTATAAAGCCAAATTAAGTTCCGTATTTTGATAAAGGTGGTTGCCTTTGTTTAGCTATATATTCAAATTAAGTTGATAATTTTTTATATTATCATTTTAGGACATAGGCGTAGAGAGGATTAAGCCTGGAACAAATATGAAATATATTTATATTAGTTTATATAAAATATAAAAAATTAATTGTATATACATCAATATTAAGCATGATATTAATTTATTTATTTATAAAAAGTAATTAAACATATAGTTGATATTCCTCTATTATATAAGATTGGTTGCATAATACTAGGTAAAATTCTACTTTTACAGGCATAATATTTGACAGTAAATAATATATAAAAGTTATTATTTTAACAAATTTTACAAATAAAGGTTCTTGATAATAAATATAGCAACAATTTGCATTCAATTATTAAACGCCATCTATTTATTTAAGAAAATGATATTAAAAATTTCTCTTCATATTATTTATCCCACAATGTTTTTAAAAGATATTTTCTGATGTCCTTATCAATATTTTATAGTTTTCTGTAATATATATAATTCGCAATATTGGTAAAAATAACTGATTGTTATATGATAATTGATAAAATTGGATATACTGTAAATCTACGACATAATATTCCACTGTATTTATTGTGCTTTAATTTTTTTTCTTTAATTTATGATTTCATTTTATCAATAGTTTTATAATTATATTTATTAAAATTACTCATTTTATAAAAAATTATATTTTGGTATATTATATTATTTATTAATTTATGGATCAATTATTAATAATTATAATACATTTCACTTTTTTCTTAAGACTTATCTTTGGCTTATATTCCATTTCTTAAAAAACATTTTTGGTTCACTTTTTTTATATATAAATGCTTTTTCTAATAATGTATAAATTATGATGAATATTTTTATAAAAAATTATTAACTTTTACATTCTTTCTTTCAAATTATTGTTTAAGATATATGATTACATTTTTTCGGAGTCAGGGAGTGGGGGGAGGGCTAGGAGGAATATTTTTTATTAGCTTAAAATGATATTCAAAAAAGTGATAAATTCTGAAGAGCGGGAGGAAATTTCCCCTTGCCCCCTCCCCCTGGCTATGCCTATGTTTGAAGATTTAAAACAGAATTTGCCTACTGTATGGAATATTATTTGCCTCTCAGAATAAATAATACTACATTTTAAACACGTCCTTGTCCGTTTTTCCTCTCAATATATAAAAAATGACTCATCTACTTATTACCAAATATTTTTTAATTAATTAAAGTTTATATCTTTATTATAATTTTTTCTTATTTCATCTAACCACTAACTTCTAACCATATGTGAACTTTACACCTATTCATCTAGTGAAAGATGGCTGTAAATTATAAATATTTAAATCGTGCTCAACTCTCTATAAATTATTTACATTCAAACAGGTTTTTTCTATTAATCGATGATATATACTTATATATTATATAAAATAGTACAACTCATGAATTTTTATTTGGAGCATTAGCGGAAATGATTGATAATTCTAGGTATATTAAATTTTACCAATTTTTATAATATATTTTTAGAGATGCAAATGCCAAAAATATTCATATATATGAGGGTAAATAAAATTCCTAATTTAATTTTGAATATTTCTATTATTTTTTAGAAGCCAACTCAGAGCTAAGAGGAGGTTATATGATTTGCTTTTTGGATGATGGATGTGGGATGAGCCCCAGTTAAAATTAAACCTAGATATAAAATATAAAATTTTTTTAGGTGAGGCGAGGGATATAATGACATTTGGTAGATCTTTTAAAAAGGATGATACGATAGGAGATGAAAGAAAAATGATTGGCCAATATGGGAATGGATTGAAATCGTAAGTTATTATTAAATATCTTATTTCACATAAAATTTTCCCATAATATTTTATTTTAAGTTTATCAAAATATATTTTTTAAAGCTTATCAAAATAATATATGTCATGGATATTTAAGGTTAATCAAATCTTGACATGCTGGAAAAAATTTTTTAGGCTGGGATAGACAACAGTCTAAAATATTTTTATGGGTTGGGCTGGAAATTTTTTTAAAGTGATAGACATGTATAAAATTTTATTTATGGGCTAGGCTGGCAACCCCAAAAATATTGTCAACAATTTTGAAAGGCCCCTATGGCCTAGTCAACCTTTACTTGCTGTTATAAAGCCTTTATCAAATATATCATTTTTTTATTACTTTATAATTTTTATATTTAATTAACTAAAGTGGCTCTATGAGAATTGGTAATGATTTTATCCTATTTACCAAATGTCACAATCAACCCATGACTTGTTTGCTCCTTTCTAGAACATTTCACGAAGAAGAAAAGATTGACGAGGTTGGAAAATATTTTTATTTTGCTCTTATAGAATTCTCATTAAAGATCTGCAAAAGTAGTGGGCCAGGCCTATTTTTATAAAGAAATTGGGTTTGGACTGGGTTGTGCCTAATATTTTTTTAAACAAATTTTTGGGTCAACCTTTGGAATTTTTTTTAATATATGTAAATTTATTAATTTTATGTTGAATTTGTTAAATAAAAATATTTGATTTTATTTATTGAAACTAGATGCATTTTGAGTAATTAAAAAAATTAATTTCTATATTTAAATAAATTTGGGCCAGGCTGGTAAATTTTTTTTAAAAATATTTCTGTTTGGGCCCTCGCTGGCAAAATTTTAAAAAAATTTTGGGCCAAGTTTGAAAAATTAGGCCCGATGCAGATCACTATCTCTCATAACCTAAAATATAACAGTCACATATTAATAATGTCTACATATGTCATATTTTTTTTATAAAATGAATATGGAGTATTAGAATTATTTCTTGAATATAAACAAACCATTTAAAAACTGATACCTTAAAGTTAAAATTATACAGCCAGGAAAATTCTTTTTTGGTCTGAATCCTTCCTATTCTAATGTTGGGATTAGATTTGAGGTGCACTTGTATTAAATATAGCATTTCAATCAATTAAATTAATCAACAATATTAGATATTCATATGATTTTTTTTTCACACTATTTAGGTTATTGTTCCTTCACCTTCCTTTCACCCTGACACCAAAGAATTGTATTATGAAGATGAGGATACCAAAGAAAAGGTTTTATTAATACTTTTATTTAAAATAAATTGGGGGGAGTGGATGAAAGGCCTTAACACGAGTTATTTAAATATAGAATTCAAAAGATACAATTGTTTCTTATTTTAGATTTAATTTACTAAATAAAAAATTTAATAATATATCTTGACAATAAAGCTACCAGAGTATCTTTTTAAGGTTTATTTAATTTATCGTTACAGATGCCACTTTTTTAAAGCTGATACCAAAAAAGTATCGTTTAGTACCAAATAAATTATATTATTGGGGAAAAAACAAAGATATATAATTTATCAACATATTTGTAACTTCCATAAAAATATCTTCCAATTTGTAATTTATTTAATTACTTATTTTTATTTTATTTTTCATACGTTAATTTTACAACAAAATTAATATAATGAAATATTAAAAAAATTAAGGAAAATAAGCACTTCTTATTCATTTTGTTTTTATTAATTCTTGCTCAATGTAAACGAGCTCTGCATGATCTGTCTGAAGCTCAACTTGCTCCTGTTGGGCTTGGACTTTGAAGACTTTTTTTGGGCTCTAGTTGGGCTAAAAGAGGCACACTGACCCTAAGTCAGAAAATTAAATATTAGAAATGACATTAATAATTATTTATATAACAATCAGAATCACATGCCATTCTTCATAACACATTTCACTTAATTATTTGCCTAATTTCCATTTCAGCTTAACAATTGATTATATACATCATAATTCTATCAGGTTGAATTAAATATATATTTTATTCTATCTTATTTTCATTTGATAATTTTTGTTTTATCTAAGATCTATCCAATTAAATAGCCTTCGATTTTTATATTTATAAATTTGTTTATATAAGTATCCAAATTTAAAAATAATTTCTGAAAAGTTTAGAACTTAAGAATTTGAGACCACTTAGAATACAAATGGAAAATCTAAAGTATGGAAGAAAATCCTACTTATATTTTATAAATAGGGTGAAAAATTCCAATTTTTTTTAGTTGATCCCGGAGGAGCTTAAAGTAACTTTATCAACGAGTTTTATAAAGATAACTCCCACTGGATCTGATGCATTGTAGGTAATGTTTACCAAAATCGGCCTGTTTGTATGCTAATTTTTGTCACTCTAGCCTATAGCCACAATAAAACTAAATTTCTCATCATAGATTGTATCAAAAAATTAATATTCTGAACTCTCGTTCAAGATGGCAAGGCAGAATGATCGACATATAAAAAGATAATTAATTATTCAAACATGGATGCACTTCAATATTTTTAATTGGTTGAAGTGGAAGATGAGTATTGGATGCAATGTTGCATTGTAAAGAGATAGTCTAATCTAGCAAATAATCTGGAGAAGTGTGTAATATATATATATATCTTTTTTTAAGAAATAAATTTTGTGCATTCATTGTTATTTATATTTTTGTAATATTTTTTGAATTATTTATGACAAGTCAACATTTTTTTGTCAAAAATTTTTTTTATAAAAATTATAATTAAAAACTTTTAAAATAAAAAGATAACAACGTAGAATTTTCTATTTTTTTATTTATTGAGATATCATATATATTGAAGAAAAACAAATAAGGTCATTAGCCGAATTTCTTTTTAAAGAAGGACTAAATTATTTCTTTAGTAAATTAATTTCCAAAAAAATAGAGAAGGTGAAAATTCAGAATAAATAAATTTCATAAAGCGGGAAAAACTATAAAACCGAAAACCCTAAAGTCTAAACAGAAATCACTGTAAAAAGAAACCCTAAAAAACTTTTTTAAAATAAAGTGGAATAAGCAGTGAGAATAGCAGTGATCACCATCCTAGATAAGATGAATCTCGCAAATAAATAATGTGATCTAAGACCAATTTCCTATTCCTTTAAGTCGGTAGTGTCGCGCAAAACCAAGGAGGCGAAGATTTATAATTTTTTCTCTCATTTCTTTTGTTTTTAACTCGTATATTTTAAGTGTTCATTGGTAAATCTGAAGTTAGAAATGGATCTTAAGGCATAGCGAATTTTGGATATGTTGTTTTATGAAAAATAGCTCTCCGAGGTGGGAGATTCATCGGCAATGATTATTTTTAGGGCTATATCTATATTGAATGTAGAATCAAATCGTTGCCAATATTTTCCCTTTTTAAGGAATATTGGATAGGGTCGATATTTTAAAGATTCAATATAATTTATTGCTTTATAGAAATAACGGTTCAAGGTTCCTATTTGGTTCGTAAAAATTAAAAATATTTGTTTGGTTCGAACTTCCAAAACCGGGTTCGACACTTTTATATAAAACCAAAATCAAACAGGACCCCCTATTTTTCACCTATATAAAACTTATCAATCACTTTTCCTTCTCAATATTCTTTATTGTCTAAAAATAATAGAAAAAAAACTGAATTTTATATAATCTTATATGGCGTGGATTAATAGGTTCTCTACAGTGCTGTATATAGCTTCTCCGCCGAGTTTTTAGCCAAATTAACCTTTCTTCCATCACCATCCTATTTATATCATTTAGTATCATTTTTTAAAAAAAATATACTAAATATATAATCATTGAAACTAAATTGACTAATATTTGCTTGTTACCGCCTTCTCATAGCACCAAAAATATAACTATTATGCTAATAAAGAACTTAATTATTAATATTTTTCATTTGAATTTTTTTTTGTTTCCTTTGAAATCTTAATAGGGTAAAGATTAAAACACTTTTTATATAAGAAACCAGACATAGTTAAAATGATTTAAATTATATAATATATGAAACTAAACTAATTAGAGGATAAATCACTAAATAAATTTAATATTAATATGCAAAGGCTGAAATTGAACTAGGTATAATCTCTCGCTACTCGCCTTTCAAATCACTCTCATCGCTTCATAAAATTTTCGACCGTATATCTTCCCCATCCGGCACGCTTGTATGCGTATATTCGCTCAAGCTGGACGCCAATGGAAAACCCGAAATAGATTTCACTATGAATCCCTTGGATTTCACTTTGCCCATCTCTGTTTCCTTACCCAATTCAGATGATAGTTTGAAGGAGAGGACCTCTTTTTCGGCATACCTCTCTCTTTTGTACAACCTTAATGCTTCCTCCAATCATCCTGGCTCCCACGAAAATACACATTCCGTCTCTCGCTCATCGCCGAATAGCGAGATCTGGCTGAGGAACAAAAGAGTCGAACGCGTCGTGTGGACTAGGAGGCTATTCGCCGTATCCCGCTACGTTTATTCCAGCGCCAAATTTAGAGCCAGAGCAATGACCGACGCGGATCGGGCTGCGGCAACTGCCAAAATCGGTATTTTTAAAAAAAATTTGTCCATGATGATTTTGATAGAAAGCTTAATATAACTTTTGCCCGAATTTATTAGGCGCTTCGTTATTTTCTATTAAAATTTATATAATCTTGCATTTTTTTATGAGGTAACAACTACCGGTCCAGGAAATTTTTTTTAAAAAAAGGCTGTTTTTCATTATTTTGCCTAAAATAACGCGTTACCTTTATTCATTCTTCTCTAAATTGTATAAAGAATAAAATAACAGTAAATTTTAAAAAATTTCTAAGAAAAGAGCTTATTTACTCTTTAATCCCGATTTTTGTTTTGCTAATCACCTTTGATTGCCCATATTGATTTTAATAAATGTTTAGACATGATTTTACATTTTATTTCTTTTCATCATTTCCTGCTTAATTTTATCAAATATAAGGTATAATTTAAATGAAACTATTAAATTTAACTTTCTTATCCTACTTTTATGTTTCTCTGCTGGATTGTTATAGAATCATATCTCCACTTTCGGCCAAAGTTGAGTTAGAGCCGAAATATCCTAGTAGTTGTATCTATAGTTGGGTATTTACTATATTTTTAATCATTTAAGCCAATTTTTAGCCAGATGAAAAACATGGTAAACCTAGTTTTAGCTGAAAGCTATCATTTGTCCCCAAAGTTTTTCTTAAAAATATAGCAGATCAAATTTGAAAGAAACTTATATAAATTAAAACGCATTAACTTCAGATTTCCAGTACCTGAAGACTAAGCCGATATGACGACATTTAGCCATTACCCAACTATAGTTATATCGCCCCTTTACACCTCATTAAATAATATTAAGTGTTTTTCCTTGTAAAAATATCTAAGATATTAAAGTAACTACGCTAGTTTTTTTGGTAGCGTAGCTTAGTCTTCTTTTTTAAAGAAAAATAAAGATAATTATTCATAATTTTAGTAAAATTATTATCTACTGTTTTAAATTTAGAATTTACACATCTAAAATTTCAGTAATTGAAAAATACCTCTATAATATTGGTGTACAGCTACATCCAATAAATCAAATTTGATCCAAACTGAATTGATTAATCCTACAACATCAGAACCAGGTTTTAAAAATTAGCTGATTAAATCAAAATAATTATATAATTGATACATTTAGCCATTTTTCTTATTCGATAATCCTTTATAATCAATCTGATTACATTCATTTTGTACTAAGATACTGCTCACATACATGAATGGTAAGAATTGTTGATAATTTTTAAGAAATAAAATAGTCTTTAATATTAGATTTCACAACACCAGATTCATTAGGGAAAGTATTTAATTTATGTTCTGATATTTATTGACTTAATTGGAAAGAGCAGCTAAGGTTATTGGTAACCTTGATTAATTTAATATCCAACGAAGATACATTAATTGCTCATTTTTAACTAAAATAATCAAATGAACATTTTTGATAAATCTTCTTATATAAATTAAATACCACTTTGCCCTCAAGTGCTACAATTATTTAATAAAACAAAATTTGTACTTTCTGATTCCCGATTTAGACTTGGAGATCATAAATATAGTGATGATTTGTTTGAATTTGAAATGTTTATTTTATGGATAGATTAGATTTAAAATTTTTTATACCCCCAAATAATGTCATTTTATTATAGTTCTATTTTTATCATGTCAATAAGATAAGATTGCGCAGTATTTTATTTATCTGCTTCATTATTATAGGGTTCTAACTCCATTCAGATCAATTTTTAAAACAGAATGCTCTCTGGCCAAAACTATAAAAAAATTTTAAACATACACTATGAATGACAAATTAATTTATTAAAAATGCAAGAATAATTTTAAAAAAGTTATAGTCCATTTTATGCCATTAAGAGTAAGAAAAAGGCTGTTTTAAGTTTTATCTCCATAGTTTAAACTATAAATAATTATAAATTTTTTAAAATTAAAATCTTCAATTTCAAAATTTCAACAAAATGTTGATTGTAACAAATGTAATACCATATATATATGAAATTTTATCCTGAAAAAACATCACCAACTAAATATATTTGGCATCATTGTTCTAAAAATGCCTATTGTAGCTAGAGATAAACAAAAAATATTTCAAAATATAAAAACAAAACTTGATTTTTTTTGCTTTATCAGCCCATATAGAGCAAATATGATATTATTTTATCAATTAATTTATTTTAAAAAAAATGGTAATGGTCATTTTTTTTATCAACTTTCTTCACTTAATATAAATTTAGTTCTCATCTTAAGTACAATTGGCAAGCCTCGAAAACTATCTTTTTACACTTCATTATTATAGCTTGAATGTCCGGGTCTACTTTTTTTTATAGAAAAAATCGGGTTCGGGCCTAATAATTTTAAAAAAAATTCAGATCGGGTCGGGTTGGGCCTAGGAAATTCGCAAAATAAATATATTTGATTTTATTTATAACTAGAGACACCCTATAACATATATCATTTATTCTGAGTAAATATAAAAATTAATTTCTATATTTAAATAAATTCGGGTCAGGCCAGGCCGGCAAAATTTTTTTTAAAAAAATTCGGGCTTGAGCCGGGCCGGCAAAATATTTTTATAAATCTTTTCGGGCCGAGCCGGGCTTCATTTGTAATTTTTTTTAAAAAAACAGAAGATTTTTTAAATTGAATATCTTTAATTATCACTTGAGTAAAATAGTTTTTGATTAGTTAAACTATACAGAATCCTGTAATAAAAAAATATTTTTCAGTGTTGCTTTTAAAAGTAGCGTATGCTAGTAATCTGCATCGGGCCGCCCGCCCAGCCTGGCCCAAATTTATTATAAAAATTTAGTAATTTTTTTGATTGTAAAGTAAATATTCTACAAATAAAAAATATTAGCGCCTTGTTTCTTGGAGGAATTTAAAAATATGCCATTTTATTGGATAAAATGTAATATCATATTTAAAAATCTAAGCCGGACCTGGTCCGAAATTTTTAAAAAAAATAATAAACCCGACCCATATCACAACCGAAATTATTTTTTGAAAAAAAAATAGACCCTGCCTGTCCCAGGCCGTGATTTGCAGATCTCTAGCCTACACCACGGCTAAAACTATTTGGAAAAATAGTTAGCGCTATTAGAAAGTAGCTCAAAGAAAATTTCAACATACATTTTTTACCTCCTAAATTATCATCTCAAAGTGTCATTTCAAACCTGTAGAGTATTATAACTTACCAAATGTCGTTTTATATATGTAAAATAGAAGTAGGCCCGGCCTGAAATCCCAGAAGGTTAGCAAAGTTCTAAAACCCTGGTCGGCTTGACAAAGCCGTGTTAAGGCCTAAAATTTTAAAAACTTTGTGCTGGGCTCGGACTTAACCACTAACCAATTTGGATGGGATGTGCCGGCCTAGAATATGTAAAATAAGGTTTAAAAGGATAAAAATGCTATATATAAAGATAGAGAGTAGGGGCCGGTACTGCTTTTTGGAGGCCTATTCGATATTATATTAACGGCCGATTACCGATCCGATATCATATCCGATTTTGTATATGTAATAAAATTAATCTATTTGCATAAGTAAAAACAAATATATTATGAATTTGAAATAAAATTTTTTAAATTAAGACGCCATTATCAAGAAATTTTATAATATTAGTCGATAATCAATATTTTAAAAAAGTTAAAATATCGACCCGATCCGATTAAAAATATCGGTACGTAGAAAAGATTTCCGAATTATAAAATATGACGCCAAATAAATAGGGAACAAAGGTAGCTAAGAATAGGAACCCTTAACTAAATAATCAAGCATATATCAATTGATGTTATTAGAAAATTATTTAAAATGAAATTTAAAAATAAAATATTTTTTAGCCGAAGAAATTGCTAGAGAAGCAGAAAGCAAAGCTAGGTATGGATTAATTTATATATATATATACGTTTTGAAATCTGTAAATATGATAATAAAAGTTGTCTAACTTTAAGCCTTTTTTGCAAATCAAGGTGTTCGTTTATTATTATTATAAGTAATCAAATAGCCTGAGCACAAAGTCGCCAGTTTGAAATCACACAATATTATGAAATTTTTTAAAAAGATATTTTAAAATTTTATATTAGTTAGCTTACTATAATTAAAATTCAGTATTTTTTTTAGCATTAATATTTTGCTTTATTATTTATACAATATTGATCTTGAAAGATTTAGATAAATTTTTTATTATTTAATCATTATTTTTTTTTAAAAAAATATATAAGCTGACCTAAAAATATGACCTCTCTTTTTTTTAAATTATTTGAAAATATACAAATTAATCGCCCTAAAGTTTCATTATAAATGTATAAAAAGTTTAAATGATAAATTTGAAAATATATAAATTAATTTCCATATAAAGATTCATATGTTTTATTAATTCTTCTGATTAAATTTTTATAACAAAACTATTTTTAATATTCTTTCTGCAGAGATTTAAGTAATCGATACGGTCATACTCCATTGGAAAAACATAAACGGGTAAATTTTTTACATATCATGATTAAAAAACAATTTGCTGTTCTTGAACACATAATAACCTACGATTATTATATATATGGTGAATTCCATGACAGATCAATAAAAAAATACACTATTTTCAACATGACCCCTTCAGATTTTTTTAAAATTTTTACAAGAATTTATATATTTTTTAACTAAGAAAAAATAAAATTTTAGCCCCCAACTCCAAACAGCGGCTGAGATATGGGCCTTTAAAGGTCGAAAAAATGGGCATTTTGGGAGCCTAATAGTAGGCCTTTAAGTTATTATAATGTTAAATATTTTAGATATAGGATTAATGAATAAATATGCAAATTTTCAAGTTGGGCCGAGCTTAAGTTTGGAGAAATAGCGTTTTAGTCATTAGTCTATTGCGAATATTCTTAATATTTGATATTAATTATTTATTCTAAAATAATTCAAAAGCTATCAAATATTTTTGCGTTAAATATTTAAAAGAATTGTTATTTATGATCTGGGTAATTTTTTATTGGGGGGGGGGGGTACTTTGATTAATTTATTTGATGAAATGAATTATCCTCATCAAAATAACTAAAAAATACAAATCCATTTTTTTATATAATATGAAAATAATTTAACCTTAATTTACCTTAAGTGGCATAAAAGCATGAAACTTTTTATGCCGGGAAGGGAATAGGTTTGAACAAGTTTTCATATTTATCTTTTACAAATGCATAATTTATTCCGTGATATTTGCTTTATAAAAATTATTTGATTCTCATATGTACGCTTGGAATCCCGGAAAATAATTCCTCGGAAAAAAATTCCCGGAAAATAAATCCCCGGAAAAAAATCCCCAGGAAAATAAATCCCCGGAAAAAAATCCCCAGGAAAATAATTCCCCGGAAAAAAATTCCCAGAAAATAATTCTCCGGAAAAAAAATCCCCGGAATAAAATTCCCCTGGAAAATAATTCCCCGGAAAAAATTTCCCCACTATACATTGAATTGCTAATGCATTGCTAAACTGCATTGCTAAAAGGCAATCAATCATTATCAATTATAAATCAATCAAAAATTTATTACGTATATTTTTTTAATGATAATTTTTTAAACTTTTTTTAAAATATATTTAAATCATTTTTTTATTATAAATGAAGAATACTGATTAAATGATATAGTATATAATTTTATTTTTATTTAATATTATTAATAAGAAATTTATTTTTCTAGCTTATTAAAACAAATATACATTTTATTTAATTTTAAAAATTAACAAATATATATCCGTAAGAGGGCGTTATATGTTTGAATATGTATCATTTTAGGAAACCGGAATGATGATTGGATAGCATTTTTTTTATATTTGGGTATATATATACATATGAAAAACCTAAAAATTAAAAATTTTTTTTAGGTTTCTTTGATGTTTAATGAGTAGGTTTAGAAAGTAAAACAATGGAAATTTTTTAAAGTAAATATTGCTGGCGTTATTTATCAAAATCTCTTCATTTTTGTTTTATACGTGTATATTTACGTGCTAAGCATTATTCTAAAAAATATTTTGAAATAATTTGATTTGACCGATTGCCGAGCTCAAAACCGATCACTCACTAAATATTCGATTGACCAAATTTATTAGGAATATAATTTGAAAAATGTTGATTTTCGTTTTATATATCTATAAATACGTATAAAACATAATCCTAATAATTCTTCAGAATTAATTTTATCAAAATTTTTAAATATTTTATTTGAGAATTATTATTTCGTTGATTTATTTATAGGGAATTTTTTCTCCTAATTTTGTAATTTTAATTATCTTAAAAACGGAGATTTTTTTTCCGGGGAATTATTTTTCTAGATTCTTTTTTAATATAGCTTACATTTAATATATTTATTGTAGCTTTCGTTCTCTTCGCTACACTGCACAAGGTACGATTCCCAAACAATTTATTTTAAATGAAATAGTTACATTTCTCATATTTAAATAAATATATTATGCTAAGCTAACCTATCTCATATTTTACTTTTAATAAACCTTTTATCGGTCCGTTGTCTCACCCCCTCCTTCATTATTATATAGGATTTAACTTGTAATATACAATAAATTTATTGAATTTAAAACAAATTAAACAATAACATAAAATTTATCGAATTTAAAAACATTTAATGGTAAATCTAAATATATTTCCGCGAATATGAAGTTGATGATTTATTTTCAAAAAAGATACTCCAGCAGTAGTCCGCCAACATATTTATACGATTCTTGCCGGGAATTTAAATTGAAAACTTAAGACCCCCCAAAACGAAATTCTTTACCATTTTTCTCAAAAAGCAATCGATAAAAAATTAATAAATTTATAAGGAAATATAAATCTAACACTATCACCAATTTTCAGGGATTTTCATTTGATACTTTTTAAAATATATCCGTATTACCATTTTTGAGATTTCGAAAAGTTGCCTTTATACGATAATATTTTTAAAACTTGACGTGAAGGGAAAACTTAGAAAACGAATTCGAACTCAATGTCAAATTCTGCACCAAAACTTGTTTTTATTTATTTTTTCTCCCATTTTTCTTGCCACACAGTACAATTAATAAAAATTGATAAAGACATAAATATTAAATAAAACCTATACAATAATTTTAATCTATATTTTTTCAACTTTTAGGTAGAGATATCAACATCCAAGGATGTTTTTATCATCTAACTCAATCAACTCATAGAAAGATTCAGGAATTGGGGTTAGAATCATCATATCGGAATGATCCAATGTTATGCTTATTTGCAGCTATGATCGATGGATTAGCATTCTTACCTATACACGATGTCAAACGAGGTATGGAGTATTTAAAAACCATTGTATCGGATGAAAACAAAGAATTATTGTTTTATTTTGATAAAAATTATGTGAATGGAGAATTGAGACATGGGAAAAACTCTCAAAGGCAAGTAGAGCCATTGTTCCCACCAGAAACATGGAATGTGTTCAATGTTACGATTGCTGGGAAAAATCGAACAAACAATGTATGTGAAGGATGGAATAACCGATTTAAGCATATTGTAGGCAACAAAAAACCGAAGATATGGGAACTACTCGAAAAAATAAGGATGGAAATAGCGGTTGATATGGGAAAAATCGGCCAATAGAATATTGGGACATACACTCCCAAAAAAAATCGTATTTATGCAACGAAACAAACTATTTTAAAAAATTTATGCATTGATTATTTAGAAGAGAGAAGGGACTTGCCCAATTTTCTCTCTTCAATTGGAGAACATATACGTTCTAGAATTGTTTCTTTTGAATAATATAATTTATTATTCTATATATCATTTAATAAAATTATAATTATTTCTTTTCTGTAACTTTTGAAAAAAATTCATAAGCAAAATAATAATTGTTAGATTAGAAAAATATAATACTCACTGCTGATAATCACCTCTGGATGTATTTTGATTAAAGTGGTCAGCATTTTTCATTACTTTTGGCAGTATTTAATTAAAATTGGGCAGTAAAAAATATAATTTTGCAAGTTTTATAGTGATTTTGTATTCAGTCAGTTAAATTCTTAAAGTAGGTAAATACTTCAGTAAAATAATATTTATCAAATAGAGGGTATCAGATTGAATTGCTAATTTCCTATTTAGCCACAAAATTTATAAAATTATATTATTTAATAGCTTATCCTTGTAAAAACAAAAAGGGACGCTATTTAAGAGTCAGTAAACTGTGAAAAGCCTTTTATCATATTTCTAAAAAAATGATTAAAATTTGTGTAAAAATAATTTTTCAATAAATACCTAAAAGTTGATGAAAGTGTGTAAAGGTGAACTAGATTTATTTAACTTTCGTTTTATTATTTAAAATCTCAAATCCTCGAAGAAATTTGACTTTAAAAAACATTTCTATTTAATTAAATACTGCAGAGCAGATCCGGGTCACGGGATTTTTTTTCCGGGGAATTATTTTCCTAGATTCAAATTTACTAGTAATATAATTTGAAAATTGTTCATTTTTGTTTTATATATCTATAAATACATATAAAACATAATCCCAAAAAATATTTTAAAAATATCGTGGTTTGGCGGATAACCGACTCGTATATGTTTTACTCGTAATTATAGATATATAAAACAAAAAATGAACATTTTTCGAATCATATTACTAGTAAATTTTATCAATCGAATATTTAGTAAGTGGGGTTTTGAGCTCGGCAATCAGTCAAATCAAATTATTTTCAAAATATTTTTTAGGATAATGCTTAGCACGTATATATATACGCGTATAATACAAAAATGAAGATTTTTCCATGGATAACGCCAGCAATGCAGTATTTGGTCATTCGGTCGGTTTTCGGGTCAAATCACGATATTTTTAAAATATTTTTTGGAATTATGTTTTATACGTATTTATAGATACATAAAACAAAAATCAACATTTTTCAATTTATCTTAATAGCAAATTTGATCAATCAAATATTTAATAAGTGGTCGGTTTTGAACTCGGCAATCGGTCAAATCAAATTATTTTCAAAATATTTTTTAGAATAATGCTTAGCACGTAAATATACACGTATAAAACAAAAATGAAGAGATTATGATAAATAACGCCAGCAATATTTACTTTAAAAAATTTCCATTGTTTTACTATTCTAAACCTACTCATTAAACATCAAAGAAACCTAAAAAAAATTTTTAATTTTTAGGTTTTTCATATGTATATATATATACCCAAATATAAAAAAAGTGCTATCCAATCATCATTCCGGTTTCCTAAAATGATACATATTCAAACATATAACGCCCTCTTACGGATATATATTTGTTAATTTTTAAAATTAAATAAAATGTATATTTGTTTTAATAAGCTAGAAAAATAAATTTCTTATTAATAATATTAAATAAAAATAAAATTATATACTATATCATTTAATCAGTATTCTTCATTTATAATAAAAAAATGATTTAAATATATTTTAAAAAAAGTTTAAAAAATTATCATTAAAAAAATATACGTAATAAATTTTTGATTGATTTATAATTGATAATGATTGATTGCCTTTTAGCAATGCAGTTTAGCAATTCAATGTATAGTGGGGAAATTTTTTCCGGGGAATTATTTTCCAGGGGAATTTTATTCCGGGGATTTTTTTTCCGGAAAATTATTTACCTGGGAATTATTTTCTGGGAATTTTTTTCCGGGGAATTATTTTCCGGGTATTTTTTTCCGGGGAATTAATTTCCGGGGATTTTTTTTCCAGGGAATTAATTTCCGGGGATTTTTTTTCCGGGGAATTATTTTCCGCTTACCGTACGCTTGTAGCTCTTTCTGCTTACCTTTTGTTAATGTTTACCATGGGCTATTATGAAAAATTTCATTCTGCTTTGATTCCAAATTCAAGTTCAAGGTGGATTAGATTATGAATTCATCAGAAAAATAACATTTTTTGATAAATTTTGATTTTAAAAAACCAATTATTCTAGTCTAGAAAAAAAAAGAATTGGTCTTAAATCTGCAAATTTATTTAACTCACTTTTATTTTTAAATATAAGTTTATTTAAAATTAGAATATAATTTCTTATGATAACATAAAATTGGTTTATTCTTCAATTGGTTCTCCTTATAACCTTTATTGATATAAAATGGTTATTAAAAGGAATCATACTACTCTTTTAATCGGAAATATGAAATTTTTCAAATAATAATTATATAGTGGAAAAACACTTCCAGCCATTATAATATTTGTATTGGATAAAACTCCCTTTCCCTTGATCAATTTTTTTGCTATCCTTGTCATGATAAGTTGTAGAAAATTCTTCTTGGTTGTTTCAAATTTATTTCTCAATTGTAAAATTATTTCACATTCATCGTTAATATTAAAATTATTTTCTGAAAAAATTTTCAAAACATATTTCTTAATTTGTGTCAGATAATGCAAATGTTATCGTTAATGATTTACTCTAGTTCATCCAAGGAAGTACATTTCTTAGGCCAAATTGTGCGAATTTTATAAAAGAGGTACATAAAAATACAATAGCCCCCCCCGCCACCTTTAAAATCTTTTATTTTAATCAGACCTGCAGACCCGGCCCTAAGCTTGTTAACCGTGCCGGACTTTAATTTTTTTTAAATAAACCCAGGCCAGGAGTAAAAATATTTTTAACCCAGGTCGGGCCAGGCCTTTAAATTTTTTTTAGAAATACCCGTACCAGGCCGAATATTTTAAATCGTTATTATTATCTAAAAAATTAGAAATAAATATTTTGTATATTAAAAAATCGAGGCCGGACTGCAAATGGTACCTCTGCAGGTCTCTCATTTAAATACATGAAATATGTAAAAAATTTAGCTTAAATATATCACTTGTCAAATATTTAATACAAATTTTTACAATTGACTAATAATTAAAATGCCATATATCCTAAACCTAAACTCGGCCCAACTTAAAAATTTGCATATTTATTCATTAATCATCTATCTATATATAAAAAAATTTAAGTGGAAAAAAACTTATTTGAGACCATTTCCGGTTTTTGACATTAAAATTTTTTAAACAATATTTAACATTTTATTTTAAAGATCTACCATTAAGATATATGAATAAATTTAAATGACTCTACTACCTCAATTATATCTAAAGATATTTATAATTAAAGGAGAACATTTTGCCCAAAATTCTCTATTTTTTTGACCTTTAGAGGCTCATATCTCAGAATCTGTTAGGAGTTGGAGGGTAATTTTTTTTTCCTTAATTATAATTTCTGCAAACTCTCGTAAAAATTTTAGAAAAATATGAAAGGGTCAGGTTGAATATGTTGATTTGTCATTTACCATATATAATAATATATAAATTTCGAGCAACTTTAAACACATATTTTTAGCTGTTTTCTAAGACAGGCAGACTCAGCAAGGCCCAAACCAAATTTTCATAAGTTTCCTTTAAACAAATAAAGCATATCCTTATGTTCCCAAACTGCTATATAATTATGATCTTATTTATACTTTAGGCTTTAATTTTAGAACGCTGTTTTAAATGTTTTTGCTAAGTTATTACCCCTTTACATTTAATTTTTAGGATTTTATTGACAAAAATTATAAAATTTGCTTAACTAAAAAAAATAAAAATCGAATTCCTCTTTATAAGCATTTTTTATTGCTTAAAAACCTTAGCATTATAATTATTACTTCGCTAATAAATTAGTTATCATATTAATATAATTACAGATGGAAATTAGGAAGTGTCACGAACAAGCTCATTCCCTGAGACAAAAGGCCAACCTTTTGAAACAGAACTCAGAGAAAAAAATGAAGTTTTAAAAATATTTTTTTATGAATAATGATTTTTTTGGTCTAATACTAGTGATTTCATGATTTTAAAATATATATACCTTTTTTAAAAAAAAAGAACCATGAAAGATCCTAAATCCATAGATCTGATATTCGGAATAAATCTGGAAGATCGAACACAGACAGGTGCCTTTGTTTACAACCAAAGTCGGCTCATCAAAATGTACCAACCGTTCAACAATAACTCCGTTTCATCTAGTTATTTTTTAAAATTTGCTATAAATAAATCATGATATATAAAATTAAAAGAAAAAAAGGAAGTAGCCTTTCTTCTTTCCATACTGCTGATAACTAGTGTTGTTAAACGGCTCGATTTTTCAAAAACGGCTAACCCAAACACTACTAACTAACAAAAAATCTAATTCTACTATAAAAGTGTATAATCGCAACATTAATTAAATAAGCATCATAAACCTAAAAATAAATATATGATTCTATATTGCTAATACTTTTCTAAATATAATGATAATTTCCCAAATTCCTTTATTTTTAAAATAAAATATAAAAAAAATCATATGATCAATAACATAGAATAATAATTGTTATCGATCTCTTATTCGAAATCATTTTAAAAACGTCTATATATGTCAATTACATATCAATAAATATAACACGCCTCCCTTTCTTTAGAAATCAAACTGAGGTAAAAAAAAAAATTTACGCATATACATATAATCAAAGTAAATGTCTACATAAATTCTAGTAAATGATCAAAAAAAATATATAATTTATTATTATTTACTTTCATTAAATTTTCTTCTTTGTTTCAGGAAGTTGCATATATTTTCTTGACCATACATAATTTTCATTAAGCTGTTGCTACCCATTTTTTCTTGACCATATGTAATAGTTATCATTGCGCTGTTGATTATCATTAAATCTTTAATGTTTTTCTTTACACATTATTCATATACACTTCTTCCTTATCAATCATAATCCTAAATTAAAATATTAAACACAAAATTTGTGATCCCAATTAACAAAATTTTATTATATGATGAACTACACTACTTTCCTCCTTTCCTTGGATCTAAAATATCAAATAGCCAATTTTCCTTATTTTATATAACTTTCAAAATTTTACACATAAAAATGTTCTAATATTATTTAATGGCTCCCTCCATTATTATCCTTTACATCAGAGGCCTGGCCCTATTTTAATTTTTTTAACCCGTGGGCTGGGCCTGAAATTTTTTTAAAAATATATCGGGGCTATGCCGGGCCGTATATTTTAAAACCAAATATTTGAAATAACCATTATTAGCTATAAAAATCAAAAATAAATAAAATATATTTTAAAAAAATCCGGGCCAATCCGTAAAATTTTTTTTTTTATAAATCCGGGCTGGGCTGTACAAATGGTACCTCTGCAGGTCTTTGCTTTATATATATATAAATCCACATTTATACATATAAAATCAAAAATATTTTTATCAGTATACTTTTACACATTATTTTTCAACTTAAAATAATGAACTATTTATGACCCATTCTTGATTATCAATTCATCTTTAACACATGTTTAATATAAAACTTTTATATCTGAAATTTGCATATTTTTGCTTCTATTTAATTTATTATTCTTTTTTTATATACAACATTACTCAAACATTTCATATCCATAATTTTCTTTTCATTTTTTTTAAAAAAAATATCCATATTAACACAATCCTTTTTTTCTTCACATTATATTTCATTAAAAATTTATTCATGCTTAAATGTAATCCCAAAATTTAAATATTTAGCAATTTTTTATGTCCTGCATATCGTGAGGTCTTAATTTCCTATATCGGAATACCTATAACACCATTCAATGAATCAGGTTTACCAAATAATGTCAAATAAGACTTATTATCAAAACATTAGGCTTAAAAAAACTAAAATCAAAATATATAAAACAAAAATTATTTACTCTTACCATATCCAATGGTACAAGAATTATTCCAAAATACACATACATATATATACCATATCAATTACTCAGAGTTGGGCAGGTCCTCCGGAAATAGAATCTAGATACAGATATAGATTCTTTATATACTAGTATCTTGTTCAAAATATCAAAAAGATAAAAGATACTTGTATCTTTTACTAAATTAGAGTATCTTAAATACAAGATACTTTTAAATTATCATTACCAATTAAATCAGAATAGTTTATAAAATACAATTTTTATTATTTATTTGTGAAGAACATAGTATTACACATATAATAATGCATATTTGCAATAATTAATAAAATATTTATTGATGAATTAATTATTATACCAGGGATTTTAATATTAATTTTTGTCCATTAATAGCTTAAACAGGGAAGGGAGAGTAGTATATTTAATGGGAGTTGAAAATGTGCAAATAAGAAAAAAAAATTAAATCAAATGATTTATTAGAATTTGCAGGTTATTTTTTGTGTTGTTTTAAATATAGCTTATATTCGGAGTTTATGGCTAAATGGCATCTCTAAAAAAAATAATAATTTTTATTTTATTCATTATCTTTAATAAGTATTTATCATTACTAGTTTGTGATATTTATGTATTTTTTAAATTAGTTTTATTTTCTAGTATGACTTATTAATTCTTGCATTTGTGATATCATATATATATAAATATCATTTAAATCTCTTTTCAAATTTTAATATATTTCTTGCAAAATCATTAATTATATATAAAAAATATGAAAATAATGTACAACATTATATTATTTAATTATTAAATATATAACAATTTTCTTTAATGCATTTTAAATTGATTAAATTTTGTAGATAAATACTGTAATATAATTTTACTAATATCATAAATAAATAAAAGTAACTAATAAAGTTAAATTCTACCTTATTATAATTATTTTATTGAGCCTTTTAAAATTATCTAATATTATATATCAATTGTAGCTTAAATCTTTCCTCTAATAAGAACTTGCTAAAATAATTAAATATAAAATATATTAGGGATGTGCCGATATTTTTTATCGAACCGATATTTCACCCATTTTAAAATATCAATTATCGGTCAATATTATTAAATTTGATCCGATATAAAAATGGCTTCTTTAACAAAAATAAAATGTTATAAATAATATTTAATAAACATTCTACCTTATTGTTATTTTTTTGCGCATTCTATTTATAAAAGTGTTCGATAATATCTTCAGAATCTGTTTTTAGTGAAGCTGGTGATATTGACAGTTACTATCGCCGCAAGCTGACCTCTGATAAATCGGAAATATTGGTATTTCTAAAAAGAAATCTTCGCTATATTAATGTTAAATATTATTTTAAATATTTATTTCAAATTTCATAATATAATTATTCATTAATTAATATGTATATAGATTAATGTTATTACTTGCTATATAAAAGTGATTTAACAATAAAAATATTTTATATACTTTTAGAATTGCAATTGAATTGAATATAAACTATAACTGATCATTATAATATATTTAAATGACATAAGTATGGTATAGTTAAATTATAGATGTTATACTAATAAAAAGTATATTAAAAATTAAAACCATTGGTATCTTTACAGAATTATCGGATCGGTACGGCCGATATCAATTGAATATCGGATCGGATCGACCTCCAAAAAGTGGTATCGGGACACCTCTAAAAATTATATATCCAAAATGATTTTAATTAATCAACCATCTTCTATAAAAAATTTTAATAACAATTATCTAAGAGGGACTTAAGTATAGGTATTATTATGTTAATAATTATAATAATAAAAATTTATAATATACTTTAATATGTTTAACAAAGTTTGTAGAGGAGTTTGTTCAACCTTTAATAACTTTTTTACTTGTGCAATTTTGACATTCGGCTTGTACCTTGTCCTTTTTCGCATGAATTACTTTATAAAATTTTCCATCTAGAATTTTAAGATTCGGATTTGATTCAGGAGAACCTATCTCCATAATTTCATCTTCACTACTATAAATGTTAAACATTCTACAAATTAAAAAATATTACATATAAAATATAACCTTTACTTATTTAGTTTTGGTGTTGTTATTTTTAATCTATCTATCTTTGTGATCTTTAAAATTTCCAACTAATTTTGGTTATTAATATATTTAAAATATAGCAGGAAAAAATAAAGAAAATAATACAAGATTTCACGAAGAAAATAAAGTTAGATTGAGTGATATGATATGTAAATGTTTTTAATATGAATATTAAAAAGAATCTGTATCTGTATCTTTTTAAAGAAAATGAAAAAGATACAAGATTCTTTTCAAAATAAAGTATCTTAGATACAGATACTAGTATCTTATTAAAATGTCAATAAGATACTGATTACAAGATACAAAAGGATCTTGTATCTTAGATACAAGTATTCGCGGTACTGCCCAACTCTGATTACTAAATATCTAATTTTTATTTCATATAATTTAATTCTATTGATATTTTTTATTTAAATTAAAATAAATTATTTATATCCAAATTCTTTTTAAAACATATTACATTTAAATTTCTCTTTTTTCCTCTCTTCTCTTTTTCCCTTTCATCTATTCCAATTTTTCTCTATCTTATTTTTAATTTTATACTTTTCATAAAAATAAAATTTTTACTTCATTATTGTGGCTACGTATAGTGGTTTTCCAATGTGTTGTTATACATCCCGGGTATCTTATCTTAAAAAACACAGGCACCATAATTATAAATATGTATAATCGCAACATTAAATTAAATAAGCATCATAAAATCTAAAATAAATATATGATTATATATTGCTAATACTTTTCTAAATATAATGATAATTTCCCAAATTCCTTTATTTCCAAAATCAATATAAAAAGAATCATAGATCAATAACAATGAATAATAATTGTTATCTAACTCTTATTCGAAATAATTTTAAAAACGTCTATATATGTCAAATCAACAGATATAACAATTTCCCTATTATTTAATGATATTAGAGGCCTGCAATCAGATCTTTTGCGATTCTTTAAAGGTATAAGCCCTGCTCCTAAAGTCCGGTAGTTAAATTTTATCGACGTCTGATCAACTTTGATTTAATTATCCGATTCGAACAGGTTTGTGCAGGAATTTCGAGTATACGCCTTCCGGACTCTGCTATCACTTTAATTTGTTCTTTCTTTAAAAATAAAATTAGTAAGCGCCTTTTAAAATTTCTTTCCTGCTTATAATGTGTTTCTATATGGACTTGTTTGAAAGGTATGACAAAAAAATATCCAAGTAACAGAACGAAAACTTTCATTTTAATTTGATGGCTATGTCATCGCGACTAGGTTTCATGAAATATTTGTATATTCTTAAGTCTTATAATAGTTCGGGATAATTGACTCTAGATACTTGCGACAATTTTTGGCCTGCTTAAATATAATATATCCTTTGAACTAGACCTTCTAATAGAATCTTATTCATTTAAATGTATAACTATAAGTTCCTCCCTTCTATCGTGAATCCAATTTTTTTCTGTTTCAGCTAATAGATTTAATGTAAATATAATATTTAGAAAGCACTTTTAAAAAATATTTAGTCAAAAACAATGGCGTAGTTTGCCTGATAGATATCCCTTACGAAATACTGGAACCAACCCACAACAAACAAGATTTCGCCGATGAAAAGGAATGGAAATTTCTTAAAACCGTCATCAACAGCCATTACAATGATTACGTTTTTGATGTTTTGGATAAAAGTTATATTTTTTGGCATGCTTTTTATTACCGCAAATTTTTATGTTCTCTAAAGAGGAAGAAAAGGGAACGAATAAATAAAGAAAGAAAAGGCAGAAAGTACGAAAAATAAAAGGAAATATCCGTGATAAATCTCACCTTTTACTGCACGCAATTTGAATAATTTATCGTTAATTTTACTTAATTTTTATAACTATGTAAACGCCAGAATTTTTTTCTCGTTTGTCAGACTTCTAAGTTTTTACGGGCTTTTATCTCAAATCTCCCATGTAAAATATAAGATGATGCCATACACTATAATTTATAATTAGCTAAAAAAAAATAGTTTTATAACAATATTTTGATAAAATCAATTGTATTCGAATTATTAATGATGAGTTATTGTTTTTTGAATAAGTCAATTTATGCAAATGAGTTGGCTACATAAAGACAAATGATAGTATGATATAAATAGAAATATCGCGACAATAATAGATTTCAATTGACATTTGATTATACTAATATTTTTGTTGCATAGTATATACAAGTTGCAATAAGGCCTAAAATGTTGAATTATAAGATTTCTTACCCTAAGATTAATATTATGCAGTACCAAGTATATTTTATACAAAAGATTATTCCCTTCATTAAATCTTTGAATTTTGTTGTGAACAATTTTACTTTTAAATTGTTTATTATATATTTTTTTAATATTTCAAAATTAAAAAATAGATACGGAATTCAAAAATTGGAAAGAATTTTGGTAACAACAATATTATATATTATATTAACCAAATATGTCTTTTAACTCTTGATTATATTAGATATATTTTAATAAATCTTACCTTCAGTCTGTTGGGGAGGTCCTGAAGGCAGGCTTTCTTAAAATATATTTAACATTTTTATAGAATTAACTGTAAATAGATATTATACAGTATATTAGTTCAAATATAGCATTTCCTTGCTTAAAATATTATCTTTATATACATTTTAATCTGAAATGTTTGGGGAAAGTCGGAACATTTTTAACTCTGAATACAAAAATAACAAGAGGTATAAATATATTTTTTTAAATCCATTAAGGAAGTATTATGGTTATGAAGCAGAGGAAAGTAAACCTTCAAATGAAACATTGTACTTGACGAGAAGGGCTATGGTTATTCCGAAATACAAACAATGTGGTAAATAAATAAATAAGAGGGAAAAATTCAAAATATAGATATCTCTGGATTAGTTTTTTTGAAGAGTAAAAAATTTATAAAATTATTCATACTAGATTTTTAGGAACGAAATAGAATCGAAAAATAAAGTTAGAGGTTAATATAGGTACATTTTTATATACACTATTTTAGTTTTATTACTTCTTAAATATTAATTTTATTTTTATGCAAAGGGCTTTGGGACTATCTTTGATTAAGTCTTAAATTCTTTTTTAAAAGACAGATAGTGTCATTTTTCATGTTGTTCTCTACAGAGTTTTGAGGTATTTTTGATTAAATCTTAGTTTCTTTTTTACAAGTTAGACGATGAATTTTGCAGGTTATGGTTATTCCTATATGTTATTAGGAATGCACGATTCCTGAACGCGATATTTAGTGACTTCTTAGTTCTTTTCATTTATGGGTTCTGGAAAGTCTCTTCTTTTTTTACTAAGGCATATTCAGGAAAACTTTTAATAGATTAATTGAAAATATTTTATTCAATGACTTTTACTCATGCACCCTCACAACGTTTTATCTGCAGTATGACAAATTCGTGAAATTTTTTACTTTCCTAAAGAAAAACAATTAATAATTCGCTTAATTAACTGAAAAAAAAGTTCGATGTTCGAAATACAGAAAAACACCTTTCCAACTTAGCGATTATACTCAACGTGACGACGAAAAAATAGAAGAATTATGGGAATGTTCACAAAATCAAGACAAAAAATGCAATAGGTTTTTCCTCATATATTCTATTTTTATAGAGTTTAATTAGTGTTATTAATTTACTTGGTCGTAAAATAAACAACCCAATTTTGTGCTCAGGCCTGCTCTGAGCACGAACCCGGGGTTCAGATCAATAATGTTATTCCAAATAGTTCAAATAAAAAATATAGAAATAGCAAACAATGGGGTTTTCTGAGGTTAGATAATAAAGCCCTTGCAAGCAACTCAGCTTAGGGTTAAAAAATTTTCAATCGGAACCACCTAGGGCTTAGAGATTAAAAAAATAGGATTAATATGAGTTATTATGTTGGTTTTAGATTTGAACTTCTCTGGTCGGATTTGTTTAATTTCATTGTTATTTTTTAAACACATATTGATTTTTTTTTCTAATTTTAGAAATGTATCTTAGATAAGTACATTTGATAACATTAGTTCCTAAATTCGGAAAGATTGAGTTTGAATGGGATATTTAGAATACTTTTGGATCGTTTTTATTTAGGGGGTTACAAACCAGCATATTTTTGTCCTGCCTGAAGTCAAAATATATAAAATCTTCAATATACACTTTTTATAAATTTTGGCTAATGACTAAATACAAGCTAACTTGGCTCAATCTTCAGGCGCTTGCCAAAGAAAATCCCTTAATATTGAGGCGTTTTAATTTATATTAAATTCTTCCAAATTTGAGCCACTATCTTTTGAAGAATAACTCCAAAATCCAGAGTGATAGTTTTAGGCTAAAACACTTGGCCTAGCCCTTTTTTTGGCTAAAATTATATTTGATTCGAAGTAGTTTAAAATTAAAATAAATTTTGTAAAAAATAATGTTTTTCTCAACATTTTCTTTCAAGTTTTTAAAATTAAATATTTATTTTAATTATTTTTGTCGTTTTATTTTTAATTTAATTGTCAACATGATTTAAATCATCACATTCACAACACTGAAAAATAATAAACTTAACTTCAAAAATATAAAAAAAAATGGAAATTTTATTTTTAATAATATTGTGAAAGTTAAATTTAATGAAAAAATAGTTATTTTAAAAAAAATTTCTATATAAATAACTAAAAAATTAATAATTAATAAACATTAAAAATATAAAAAAACGCATGTTACTTTTTGCCATAATAATCCTCAACAATCAACATGCATTTTTTATTATTTTTTTAGTTATATTTATCAGTAATAATATGATTTGTTGTAATACTTTTTCCCATAATGTGAAAAAAACTTTCTTATATAGTTAAATAACTTTCCATAATTATTGCAAAAAACATTTTGATAAAATTTTTTAAAAAATATTTTTGATATAAATTTTTAAAAAAATATTATTAATATAAATTTTAAAAAATATATTTTTGATATAAATTTTTTAAAAAATATTTTTGATATAAATTTTAAAAAATATTTTTTAATAATAAAATTTTTTAAACTTTAATGAAGGCTAACGTCAAAGTTATGAATCTAATATAGTTTTTTTATGTTTTGGACACAAGTTTAAGTGGGAAAATGAGAATTTTAAAAAAAAATTCTTAGATTTTTACAATAACTTATTTTTAAAAATACATAAATTTTTTAAAATTTAAAATATTATTACAATATATTAATTTTACTTTTATTTAGTTATCTAAAGAATGGAAATCAGGATAAGAAATTTGAATAATTTTTTAATAAACATGAGTGAAAATTGGAATTTAGGGTTTTCAGATAATTCTTATTTGTTTAGATTTTTTTATGATCAATTCGAGACACGAAAATAAAAAAAAACATTATAAAATATTACACATAAATCAATTATAAATTCAATCTTTTATTTGAATGCATCGAATTCCATCTTCATTGAACTTTGTGGTGTGAGAATATAAATTCGAAAAATTGTATGTTAAATAACTGCTTAAAATACTCTTAACAATTGCAATAACTTCTATTCGGTTAATGGGTTTAGGAGAATTTGATATGTATTAATTTTTAATAATTCCGAAAAAATTTTCGATCAAATTTAATTTTGGCGAAATGGGGTGGTAAAAATATGATATTTGGATAATTTTCACTAATTATCCTTGCTCTATTTCAGATAAGGTGTATCTAAAATCATATATATAAAGTTAGTAAATAATCGAATATTATATTAACAAACCTGAAACTGATAGATTCAAAATACTAGCAATAGTAAAATTTGACAATTAAAAAAAATAGAAATATAGTTTTTCGGAAAAAAAATTATAACTTATGAAAATTTATTAGAAGTTTAAAATTAAAATTGTCGCAAAAGTTTTAATTTAAGTTAAATTACCGAAAGTTTTTAAAAATATTAATTTTTTTCTTTAAAAAATCTCAACAAGTTTTTACAATAATTATGGAGTTATTTGACTATTTAAGAATGTTTTTTCACATTATGGAAATGTGTTACAACAAATCATATTTTTGCTGAAAATTTTAAAAAAAAATTTTTTTTATTAAATTTAACTTTCACTATATTATTAAAAATAAAATTTCCGTTTTTTTTATATTTTTGAAGTTAAGTTTATTAATTATATTTTTCTGTGATGATTTAAATCATAATGACGATTAAATTAAAAATAAAACCCCCTCAGATAAAAATATTCTGTTTACAAGAATAATTCAAATAACACTTACTTTACTTTAAAAAAAACTTAAAGAAAATGTTAAGAAAAATAATATTTTTTAAAAAAAATTTTTTAATTTTTAAACTACTTCAAACTAAATATATTTTTAGCCTGCTAAAAAATCAGCTAAACCAAGTGTTTTAGCTGAAAGTATCACTCTGGCTTGTTATCGTCTAAAATACATTTCTAAAATTAGAAAAAAAAATACGTTAAAAAATAGCGATGATTAAACAAATCCGGCCAGAAAGTTCGTATCTAATTCTGAACTAGGATGGTATAGCTGGAAAGCTTCGGCTAACCAACATAATAACTTATTTTAATCCTATTTTTTGGTATTTCTAAGCCCTAGGTGGTCCCGATTAAAAAAATTTTTTAACCCTAAGCTGAGTTGCCTGCAGGGCTTTACTATCTAATCTCAGAAAATGCCATTGCATTTTGCTTTTTATATATTTTTGGTAAATATTATTTATTTGGAATAACATTATTCATATGAACCCCCGGGTCTGGGTTTTACGTAACCAATCAATTAACAACACTAAGTGTAATACAAGGACTAGTGACTAATATTTAGTAGGGCTATGCCAATATTAAAATTATATGGTTACATATAAATGTGCATATCTCTGAATTTCCACAAGAATTTTTAATGCCTAACATCTTGGAGTGTTAAAACTTTATAATAATTTATCAAACAAGGAAAAATCAGCATCGACAAAAATGAGCTTATATTGTGGATCGGTTTTAACAAATTTTTGTCAATCCAATCCAGAATACTTAATTGGACAATTAAATCGCCTCCTTATAAAATGTTTTAATGTTATACCTATATTCCAAGATGTTTATGCATAATAAATTAGCTGCCAATTTAATACCAATTCTAAGATATGCACATTTATAAACTGGTCATTTTAATAACGGCACAACAATATTTTTTAGCGTGCTACTCACAATACCTGTTCATGTTCACATCATAATTAAATTAGTTTTAAAAATTGATTTTAGTAAAATACAATTTAAAGAATGTTATCAAATATTTCCTACCTATTTTGAATAAATTCATTAAATTTATTCATGGAGCTCAAAAAATAAATAGACTCCATATTCCCCCTATAACAATTTGTTTATTTTTATGTTTTATAATTATGAAATTTCATTCAAATTTCTTCCTTACATTTAACTTTATTGCAAGGTGTGATGCACCAGAACTCAAGTTAGATATACCTCTTGCACGTTTGCGAAAGGTGCTTCCCAAACAAAATCACAGCTCCCATATGAATAACTCTCGCGTGGACACTTTCATTGTGTCGGATAGGGAGGATAGCGAAGATGAACAAGAGTACGTTAGGGAGTCGAGAAATCGTATTACGGATAAAGTGAGCATTTGCCTATATAATTACATGATCATTAATGTCAGTATATGGTTTCTCTTTTAACAAAAAAATATGGGACATCATCTTCTCTTTTTTAACCCCCTAATTTGTAAATTCAGGCACAACTTCCTGTTCCTAAAGTCCGATAAAATAGTAAATTTCATAATGCTAAAAGTTTTTAAAAGATTGAAATTAAACACTTCTAATACTTTGATCATTTTTAAATTATTAAAACCACCTTTTGGGAGCAAATCTTATTTGTCATGAAAACTGAACTTGTTTCTGATAGGAAAAACTATTATAGGAATCTTCCTTTTTTGAATGTTATACAATAATAGATTTTATATTCATTTTTTATAAAAATAGTATTTTTTGATTACTGACTCTGTTAGGACCACTGGACTATTTAAATCTCTTATCCAGAAACGAGTAAGTATAAAAGAGCTAAAGATAATAAGCATAATGTGAATAAAAAGGTGAGGGAAATTAAGATCAGAATTCGATTATATTACAAGAATTTTATTTGGTTAAATGATAAGTAAATAGAATGAAAAATAATATGTCTATATAATAATTTACCTTTTGTTTTTATATAACAAGAAAATCAATTATCTATATGTATATAAAGTTTTAAACCATTATTAAATAAATAGATCATATTAATATAAAATTATATATAAAACTCATATTAACTATAAATAAAAGGAATAATATGCTGCATGCATCGGTTAAAAAATTTTAAAAAATGTATGTATGCTACATGGGGAAAATTTGATGGTGAGAAAACAGGGGTGAAATATTAAGATATAAAGATGACATTATGTTATAACAATAATTTATATACTAACAATTCATAAAAAAGGGGCGGGGTAAATATAGCTCTCCATTGTTAAATTATGTAACCTTAAGATTTTTTTTTAAAAATATACAATATAGATTAATAAATATTATGGTATATACGAATGAAAAACTTCTTTTTTTTTAAAGTAAATATATGTGATTTACAAAATAATATCAATATTTAAACAGCTAAAAAAAATATTTTGCAAATTAGTGGTGCTGAACTAGGAGGGAAAAGGGAGTGTTTCGAAGAAACATTTGTAGTTCCCCTTTAGGATTTCGAATTGGATTTTTTGTTTAAGAGATAGGGACTCGTTTTTGACCCCTGTCCTTAATGCAATTCTTCTACCCAATTGATTTAAAAACTTTAGGGATTGGGGACCAGGGTTTCCCAGAACGCTAAAAATTAGGGGAATATATATAAAAGAATTAGGGAGGAATCTATATTTATTAAGCTTATTGACTTCTTGAAGTTCCAAGGGGTCGGTATTTCCGTTAGCCGGAAAGGAGGTAACACACGAGACATTCCAGACAAGTCTTTTGCCGCCGTGCCAAGACGTCAAAGACATGCCGTCGGGACACTTACCATCCGCATTTAGGAGACCTAATGGCTCCAAACTATTGGGGAATCCGGCCGAAATCAAAGCCGATTAACCTATTTAGGTTGTCGTGCCTCAGAAAACGGCCACTGACTTTGAGACAAAAAAAACAATGTCTCGAGAAAAAATCAACCTGTTTGCGACAGGCAGCACAGGTGTCCACAGAAGGGATAAGGCAACCAAGCCCATGACCAATGGCAGTTTGAAACTCATCGTCTGTGAGTAACTTTTTCTAATCGCGGAAACTGGCTGCTTGGATCATTGGATAGCTAGGGTAAGCCACTCTTGTTTAGCTGAAGATAAGAGAGGATCGTCTAACTCGGTAAACGAGGAAATAGAATCGTTAAAGGATATTCGAGATGAAAGAAAGCACGCAATTGCCATTAGGAAGGGGGGGGTGAAAATCCAAGACCATCCCGGTAAGTGGGCATAGAGGCGAAAGACCAATTAAAATCAGAAAAATTCAAGACTAAAAGGGATTCGATAAAATGTATAAATTTTAATTCGAAGGCCTTAAGGAAGGTGTTATACTGGAAAACCGGGGAAGATTTAAAAATGTGTAAGAATTTAGGTAGGAAAAGACATTTTTTAGTGAGGAAAAAGAACTGATGCTTGGGAAGTTGAGGAAGATTCTTGAGTGAATTGAAGAGGGACTGAATCAAATCGTCAAAAAAATTTTAACAAAAAGAAGTTGAAAAGTCTATAGGGGAACCTAAAAGACAATGTTCCTCGTGTGGAACAATTATAAAATCTGGGGGAGGGATGAAATCCTTGTTGTTAAGGGCGGATATTTCGCACTTCTTTCTATTTAGGGAAAGACCAATCTTGGAAGCTTCCATCACAACGTACTCTATGGCCGACAAAACATTAGATAAAGAGCCGCCAAAAGAGCCATCGTCGAGATACCATAAATTTAGATCTAATTTGAAATCAGACTTTAAATTTTTAATCACATCCTGAATTTCTATGGTAAAGAGCAAAGGACCTAGTGGATCACCTCGCTGAATCCCCTCTTCAGAGGATATGGCAAATTCCCCGAATTTGAGTAATGAAGGGAATCCATAACAGGAATTAAGGAAATTCTAGTATTTTAGGAAATGATGAAGAAATGAGGGTAAGAACGCTCTCCTATGGATGCTATTGAAGGCATTTCTGAAGTCTAGCTTGCAGAAAACCTGATCCGCCTAAAAATACGTGCAACATGTGAGGCCACTTCACACCCATCCCTCACTCCAAATCCTAACTGTGAGGGAAATAGGAGGGAACTTGCCTTAGGCCGGATCCTATTTACAATAGCCTTGGCGACTAATCGACGAAAAAATGACCCTATTGCTATAGGTCTAATGCCACCATCCGGCTTGGTTAAAGAAACGTGCGCCAAAAAGGATAGGACGAATACAAAGAGGAACTTAGCATAAGAGGATATTTTTGCAAAGTTCAGTTAATGATTTCAGCAAAGGGTCAATAAAACCATTATCAGGGCACTGAATTAAATCAACAAAAAAACCGGGTCTGAAACCGTCCAACCCACCTGTCGTCCCTTTTTGAAGGACTTCAAGCACTTAAGTGAATAGGGTAAGAGGCATGCGGGTGAATGTTAAAAGGGGTGGCCAATGGATGTTTCTCGAAAAGTTGTTGAAAGATAGTAACGTTGATAGGAGAAATCGTATCATCAGAAGTCAATATCGGGCAGCTCCGTTTATATCTCCAAGATCTAATTTTTCAGATATCAATTTACAGCGGAAAGAGTTAGGATTTAAAGAGTTAGATGGGATAAATTCATCAATAAAAGTACTACCAAAATTGGACACCTTTTCCTTAATTGAGACAGATAAGTTATTTATTTTATTTTTGGGTTTAACTAGGACTCGAAAACAAAAACTGATTAGGTCAAACCATAAGGGTATTGAAGAGAAATCTGAATTCAAATTATTTATAAGGGACGTGAGGAACCTTGAGATCGACTCTCGGGCAGCTATGGGGATCCTAGAAAGAACTGGGGGCTTATGCGAATTAAGAAATAAATCAACAGAGCTTGAGAAACAACAAACCGGAATGGGGTCATACGAGTGAGGAGCTCTAATAAAAAGATCTGGGCGGGAGAGGGGGAATTTTCCAGAATTGGGGCAAGCGGGCGAACCATGTTTCCTAAATACACCATTTAAATTCAGCGAAATTATTTTTAAGCATACTTGGCAACAAGAGTTTATTATGGGATGGCTTTGAAAGGGAGAACACAAAAAAAAATATTAACAGATATAAATTTAAACAGGAGAAAGAAAAAACCAAAAGATATTAACAAGGGAAATGGGGAAAAAATCAAAATTAAAAAAAAAAGAGAAGAAATATATTTGAGCTATCAGACATATTATTATAAACAATCGAAATTGGGGGGGGGGGGGGGGTTGGTAAATTTAAAGAAAAATAAAATAGAATTAGATACATAAAGGATAAGAAGTATTATATTAAGAAGAAAAAAGGGTATTGACAAGAGAAATGAGGGAAGAAAGAAAAAAAAAGAACAATCGAAATTTAAGGGGTTGGAAAATTAAAAAAAACAATAAAATAAAATTAGATACATAAAGTATAAGGAGTATTATTAAGAACAAGCAGACAAGAGAAATAATCAATGGACTTAAACAAAAAAAAATTCTTCGGGAAATATTAAGATGTAGTTGGGAGATTTGGCAAATAAAATGAGGCATTCAAAAATGATCGTAGAAAAGTTTTTCATCGGGAAAATTTTCAGGGTGTGGTGTTATAGGAGGGGAGTTTGGAATATAAGGAATAATCGTAATGAAGAATTAACATCGCCGGGAGAATTTTTAGGGTGTGGAGTGAGAAGGTTTAGTCAATAAAATGGATCATTAGATCATCAATAGAATTTAACTTCGTCTGGAAAATTAATTTTTTTTAGGTGTGGAGTGAGTAGCCAATAAAATGGATTATTAGATTATAAATAGAATTTAAATTCGTCGGGAAAATTTTTAAGTTGTGGAGTGATAGGGTTTAGCCAAATGGATTATTAGATCATAAATAGAATTTAAATTCGTCAGGAAAATTTTTAGGGTGTGGAGTGAGAAGGTTTAGCCAATAAAATGGATCATTAGAACATCAATATAATTTAACTTCGCCAGGAAATTTTTTTTTAGGGTGTAGGGATAAGAGGAGGTTTGGTAAATAAAATGAAAAATTAATTAATAATCGGATTGAACTTCGTCGGGAAAATTATAAGGGTGTGGAGACGTGTGGAGGTTTGGCGAATAAAAGAATAATAGAAAAAAAAGGGGGAACAAAAAAAAAATTTCGTCGGGATCTTTAGGGTGTGGTGATATAAAAAGAATTCAAACTTCCTGAAATTTTTCTACGGCTGCCAAATAGGGAAATCTTAAGGTTATCTTAGCACTATTAGTGGCACGAATGATGGTCAGCGCTTCTTCGATTTGATAATGAAAGTTTTGATACGACGAGTCTCCCTCTAAAGGAGGAGAATTTACAAATTGACTTTATTGGCGTAAAAATGGTAGGGATATTTGATTTGATGGATTATACACAAATAATTCTTTAAAAAAAATAATAAATATATTTTAAATCATAATATGATTATATACTAAAAATTATTATATTTAATGTAGGAATTAATAAAAGAAAAGATAATCTTTTTCTGAATAAATCATAACTATAATACAGTGTTGTGCAGATTTTATTTAAAACATTTTCATATTTTTTAATTCCTTTGTAAATAGAATTATTTAATTTGTAAAAATTGATAAGAATATATAAATATGTTATTTTAACAATTTTTTACAAGTCAAATAATTATATTTTCAGATAAATTAACAAATATAGAAATACTTTCCATCAAATCTGGTCATCACTGTATTTTATTAATTTTACTGTTTGACAAAAAAACAAAGCACGAATTTTTGAATGTAAAATAATGTGTAATACAAATGTTTACAATCAATAGATCATCGTTTTTAGTAGCACACTATGCAAATGCAGGAATATGCAGGGCAGGCTCCTTTCACACCAGCTTGCACTAAACTGGTGCTCCTTTCCTCTACCATGAAGGGATTTAAGATCAGAATTCGATTAGACCACGATTTTTATTTGGGTATTCGATAAATGGAATGAAAATAATATATTTCATATAATAATTTATTGTTTGTTTTATATAACAAGAAAATCAATTATCTATATATAAAAAGCTGTAAACCATTTTAAATAATATATAAAAACTCATATTAACAATTTAAACATTTAAACTTAATATACTATTATAAATAAAAGTAATTTAAATAAAAAATTTTAGAAAACAACTATGCTACATGCATCGTTTAAAATATATAAAAAACGCAAAAAAATGTATGTTACATGGGGGAAATTGAAGTGATTTCGAGATTCATAATTGTAATTATCAATGTTGATTCATTATTTGGAATAAAATAAAATTATTTATCATCTACGTGTTTATATTTAGATTACTTTTATTTATTATAGTATATTATCTTTAATTTGTTAATATGTGTTTTATTATATTATTTTATATAATATGATGATTTAATGATGGCTTGCGGTTTTATATACATATAGATAATATTTTCTTGTTATATAAAAAATAGTAAATTATTATAAAGACATTTATTTTCTTTCAACCTATTTATCGTTTAGCCAAATAAATTTCTTATGATATAATCGAATTCTGATCCGTAATCCCTACAAAGTGGATATCAAAGTCTACTTAAGAAATATATATTCATTAAGCATATTAATGATTTATATAGATAAATATATATTTTCTTTATCTCTTAAAACAAAATATCACCAAGATTTCCAACTCCTACTCCACATCTACTTCCCAAACCATCAGCACAAGATCTCATCAGAATAGTAGCACTAAAACTGGTTTCGAATCGAGCACTAAAACTCCCTTAGAATCGGGATTCAATGACTCCAACTCGACCCTGGCTCACGCGTTAAATCAATCTATAGCCTCACTCAGGAGGCCTCCCGATTTATCACCCAGCGTTCATTCCGTCAAAGTTTTTACTATTTTATTACTTTTCAAAGTCACAACGACACGCGATTAAAATATATTATATATCGCAGGTCGAATATGGTCCCCAAGTCATTAACAATAACGCTAGCCACCACTCACCATCTTCCATCTTAAATAATGGCGATGTTGGCATTCAAAGTCAGAATAATAATCTCAAAAAATCTTCTAAACCACCCTCATATAATGTAAAACACAAATACATTTACTTTTATATATATACATGCTAATTAAATCAATGAATTGTGTAGCGGTAGGTATTTTTTATAACGTTATAATAAATATAACAGAGTAAAGGTTTTTTGAAGAGCCACAACATATCAAATTAAACAAACTTTATAAGAAAATAACCAAATATTTCTTATAAATACGTTATCAAATATAACGAATTTTTATATGCATATTAAAATTGAAGTCATCGAAACCAAAACGCAAACGCGATGATGACCCAGCCTTTACGGCTTCCAAATCGGTCATATCTGCACCCTCGACCAAACGAATGGAAGACAAAGTTGACAAATTAGCTGAACAGCTTAGGTTTGTAATCTATGTTTTATATATACACATCTGGTTTAGCCTTGTTTAACTTGAAAAAAATTTACTAAATGTCCATAAAAATATTTTGCTCAAGTTGTCCAGCAAGCTTGAAAATCTTTTTGCCATTGAGCAGGGTTTCGCTGATATCTAATCTCTGGGGTTTCTTTTTCAATTGAAAGGTTTTTAAGATCATAATTCTTTTTAAATGTCATTATCAATAAATACATGGCTTGTGTTTTTTTTAATCAAGCAGAAGGTAGCTATATAATTTGATGACAATATAAATCTCAGATTCTCTGAAATTTTATCATGTTATATTCATATTGTTTATATTATAAAATTGATTTAACATCCTTATTAATTATCTTTTAATTAACAAAATTAAAGGGTGCAGAAGATGTTTGCCCCAAGAGAAGTCAGGAACTTTATTATTTTTTTACTGGTCTTATATCTTAGAAATCTACAAAGCCCGACCCGTTCATGCACAAAAGTTTCCGGCCTGAGCTGGGCATTTAAACATAAAACATTAGGCAGGGTCTCGCCAATCTGATTTTTCTTAAAATTTTAATAGGTCAGCCCGGCATTAAAATTGTAATATATTTTTTAAATTTCAAGCTAATATTTTGGTATATAAAAATTATAACAAATTTGCTTATTTATTTTATAAGAGCTCTCTATAAATAATATAGTAAATCTACAAAATTAAACAAATTTACGATATGGCGTAAAATAGAGATACAAACACGATTGATTGAGTTATAAATCGGTTGATGTAGAAATAGACAGCTATAGAGGAAATATATAAAAGCCTAAATTAACATTGGGAAAAATTAGATATAGATAATAAAAATGCGATGGCGGTAAAATTCGTACAAAAAATCTAATGGATTGGAGTGGACCTTTCATAGAACTTTAACCAGCCAGGCTTGAATTTTCATAATTCTTAACGGGCCAAAGCAACCCGGTGCAGACTTCTAATCCCTATGCACAATTTGACAATAAATCATTTTATTAATCACTTTTTTGCTATATTTTATAGTCATATTTTCTGAAAATAATTAGTTAGATTTTTATTTTTTTAAGATATAATTTATTTTGTTAATAATGATTTTACGATAAACTCCTAGTGAAGTTGACCGAACGATTGATATTAATTTAATAATAATAAAATTAAATATTTATCAACCCAGCGATTAGCTAAAGGACATAAGCAAATATATAATATCAGGGTTGACAAGCTGGTAAAATAAGGCAATTGACTGAAAGAATATTTTTTGACTAGTCAAATACTCCAAAATGTTAATTAGTGCTGTAAACATCTAAATTCTGGGCGAAGTTCTGCATCCTACTGGGAAAAATAGCCATTACAAAAATTCTTTTATGTCACAATTAATTGTACCGATTTATTTTATTCGGGACTCTTTCAATATTATCTAGCAAATATTTTGTCGGGTCCAGAAACTTACTTTTATGTATATATCAGTTATACTTATATCAAGGTACCCTGGCATATTTTTAATATATTGTAAATATTTTAAAAATTAAGGCACAGCACAACTATAGAACTTATAAAGCTCATCTCCCTCAAAGCCATTATATAGCCATGCTCATCTCCACATCTTTTTTTATTGGTTTTGTAAAGGAGGGCATTATGTGATAATATGTTTCCATTACCTAATGCCTGGATGCGGGAAGAGAACCTAAAAAGAACAATCCTCAAAAGATTTAGCGAACCCCACCAAGGGGAGATGATATCTCTTGAATAATAACTATCATTTTAATATGTCATAATGCCCCCTTTTCCAAAACCAACACAAACACTGTGAAGATCTTTACCTTTTTTAGGTAAGCTTACAATAGATTTAGAGGAAAAAATTTTAATTATTTTGTTCAAACTCCTAACAGCATTTTAAAGGAATGAATATAAAAATTTAATATGGTTTAATTTGAAATATTTAATTATGATTTTCAATGGCCTTTAACTCCTGAATGGTATACTAGAGCAAAGCTGCGCCCCCAGTAATCTTTCAACGTTACACACAAACTGATTTTAAGTTATCGTACTATGTTACTATATTTCTGCAAAGTATTATGCATTTTTATTTAAAAATTTTAAGATATAAATATTTTTTGAGGAAAATACGTGCATATTAACTTTTTAAGCAAAAATATATTGCAATTTGAAAACAAGTTTATACTAATATTTTAATTAGAAGTTGGCGCAGTCCAATCCGCTGGTGTCTGGTAAAACAATTACGGACCGAGCTTAAAAATCCGCTAAAAATTTAATGATTGCATTTTATAAATAGATTTTTGTAGTGTAAATATGAAATATAATATTTAAGGCAATTTTGCTATATTTTTCGATGCTTTACAAAATTCTCCTGATATTTTTATTTATTATTAAATCTTCAAAATTTTTATATTTTAATTTATTTAAGGTTAACTAATATCTAAAAATATCAACGCTTAGAAATTTGAGTGAGATGTAACCGTTTTAATGGGGGTGAGCTATACCTCACTCAATAATTCGCGTTATTTTTTTCCCACTTTATTACTTAAAGGTATAATCGTAATATAAAAAATTTCCACCTAACATGAGATATTTCAAGACTGGTTAGTAATACTTTTTTATATGAATCTATAAAAAAAGTTTAGTGATGAAAGATCTTAGAATTAAATTAAAATTTTTTTTTAAATATTATGCTATATCAATGCTTTATTAGACACTGAGTTTTAAATGTAAAAACCCAAAATTATGTAATTTATAAAAAAATATATATGTATAATTCACTCATTTTGCAAATTAATTAAGTGGAAATATTTTTTGTGCTCCAGAAAATGGTTAATTTACAAATATATTTATTATAAATTTAATCATCATAAATGACTTCTAACAAAATTCGAATTCGTGTTTTTCCTTATTCACACATTTCCCATTAGAGGTCTGGGCAGGCCTGGGTGGGTTTTCGTAAAATATTTTGAACATTGTGCGGGTGTTGGGTGGGTTAAAAAATATTTTTAAAACATGGGCGGGGTAATTTGAAATATTTTGTTAGGTGAAATGACCAGAACAAGACTATTATAAAAAATCATTTTTATTTCATAATATTGCATATTTTATAAGTTTAATTAAAATAAATAAAGTTAAACCAACCATTAAAACAATTTTTAAACACCAGGCGGAATAGCACACAAATTTTTTTTAGGTAAATGGGTGGGAGAGGGAATTTCTAATAGATCATGGGTGGGCAGGCGGGCGAATTGAAAATTTAAGACAACTAGGGGGCAGGTTGACTACCCATCCATTGCACACTATTTCCAATGATTTAAAGTCGCTCAAACTCCCATAAATTAAGGCAATAACCTCGATTACAAAATTTTTTATGTAAAATATAGGACAGTTTTAAAGTTTTTTGTTCCGCCGAACTACACATTCAATGCCCAAGATGTGGCCCAATTCGACTGTGATAAACTGCTATCGCTCGATATACCCAAATTAAAAGCTCATTACGAGGACGAATTAAAAAAAGTTAATTTATAAATAATATTACACGACATAAAATTTATGGATCTGTTGTAATTTCTTTTTTTATGTATATGAGATTGTAGCTTATTAATATAACTAAGTGTAAAAACCGGGGCTTAATAAATTTTTATATGATTGTATTAACAATAAACTATTTCAAGGTTGATGTCTAAAAGTTTTGCTAGTTTTTCTCTCCATAAATTAGTTTCTTTAGACTAAACAAAGTTTCTACCGAGCGCTTGGTATATTTTAAATTTGCGAATTGTTCATTTATGGTTATTGAACATATTTTAAAAGTAACTAAATACTTTTATATTTACATTCAAAAAAATCTAACTAGTTACTCTAAATTATTAAGGATGATATACTTTGATTTTAAAAATTGTCAAAAATTACCAATGTGAACCAATAATTTTTTTTTGATGTCATATTTTATAGGGATTATATGTATTTTTCTATTAATCTTTTTAGTTAATATCAAAAGAATCCAAAAAGGTCTCCGATAATTTTAACCCCTTAGAAAACGATAATAAGGAATTGGAGCATACCAAAGCAACCCTTATTCAATTGAGAAGGAATGTTTCTACATTACTACGGCTTACTAGTCCGGTAATACTTAAAAAAAATATATATATATAATAATGACAGTAATCCATGTTTGTCCGGAATTGCTATTTGCCCCACCCAAATACCCATTCTCCACTTATATCAAAACTTATCTTTTAAAGATTTATATTATTTTATTTATTTAAGGGAATCAATCTGGAAGCCAATTGTCAAAGCGAAGATGTTGACTCTTTCGTTATTTATTGTTTATCGATGATGGAACAAAAATAATTATACATTACTCAAAAAATTGTAAAAACCACAACGCTAAATATAAAACGCCGATATAATATTATTGTACATATTAACACATACTCTTACAACTTTATAAATATATTATTTATATGATGTCGAACTTGTCAAATTCTTGTATAAAGAACATTTTTTTATAAATTATTTTATAAAACAATATTGTATCATATAAATGAAAGATATAGAGCTTTTATCATTAAATATTTTACAGACATTTAAAGAATTTATATAATTATTCTTAGCATAATTTTGTTTTACCATCTTAAACTTTCCTCTCATATGTTTAAATAACGTATTATTGCTTTGAGTCACAATGACTCAAAGCTAATTTTATATCATTTCTTAAAAAATATAATTGCGCATCAGATATTTATCTATCACAATTTTTTTTATACAGCTCAATTAAATTGAGTGTTGTATTTAAAAAAAAATTTGTTTTTACTTTTTTGAAGAGTATTTCAAAGATTCACCTATTGAAGTTGCCTTTTTTTAAAAACAAAAATAATAAGTTAATATTTTCTGCATTTTAATTTAAATGCTTATTGTAAGAGTGAGCTATTAGGCAGAATCATATATAATTTATTATAAGTAACGATTCCGATCTAATCCAATTGTATATTTGTTCGTGTATTTTTATATATTACTTTTGGCATCTTTTGCCTTTTTTAGATTGAAAGTACAAATATATTGGCGCGTTTAATGTATATTAATTCTAAATGGTTTTAAATAAATTTTTTTGATTATATCATACCGTCTCCTTAATATACACTAAAAATAATTTTTCTATCTTATGAAAATGTCTATCATATTTTGTAATCATATTATGTTGATAGTTTATACTATATATTTGTATAAATAAATTTAACCCCTATCAATATAATATCAGTTTATTTTTCGATATTTAAACCCCATTAAATTCTTATTTATTCATTGAATATATTAAAACTATATATGTCTAGTATACTTAGTCTACATTTATACTTTACCTTTACTTATTTTTTTTAAATAACGAATATGAATTTATAAAAAAAAGAATTTAGATTATATACTACTTTATATGCAGTAAAACTTCTCTAGGGGACGATTTTTTTTCATTAATTATAACAAGAGTAGTTAACGTTCTTTGTTAAAAGGAGCTAGTTTCTCTCCTATAATTTCAAAAAAAGCTAGTTTTGCTATAAGTTTACTCCTTTAATTTTTATAATATTGCATAAAATAATCAGCTTTTAAATGTAGCAAATATGTATCTGGCAAGCACCATGTCTCTCGCCTGAACCCTGTTTAGCAATTTTAAACTAGCACAATTTTGGTGTGAGGGCTGATGTAATACCTTTTCCTTAATTTGTCTCATACATACTAAATTAAATAAGATTATGATCACATCTATCTCTTCCATGATTGCTTTTTTAATTTAATTAAAAGATGAATGCTATTTAAATTAAATTATCTTAAGAAAAATTATTTTAAGCCTCAAATCTAGAACATATAATCTATAAAATCTGGAGTATAAGTTTGGATAGTTTATAAATATAAAACTTTCACTTAAACAATGCTAAAATTCCTAATTTTTTAAGCATGGCTCCGCCTGAAATTTTTTATTAAAATTGTCAAGCCTGGCACTATCCCGAACGAAATTTTTATTTGTCCCGAAAAGCGCCCCAAAATAAAAATTAATTGTCCGCTCAACCCGAGTTTATTGAGATATAGAAAATTTTAATTTTTTTTATATTCTACATATAAAAAATATTAGCACCTTGTTGATAAAATTTAAAAATATATCAATTTATGTGACAAAATGTAATGATATCATTTAAATCTGATCTGGTCCAAATTTTATATAAAATATTAAACCCGAATAAAATAGATCCGGTTCTGCCCGTTCAGGCTGGGCCGTAATTTGCAGATCTATTCTAATCATATAAAGAATTTATTATAATATTGTTAGATATATCAGGATAAAATAATAATAAAATCGTATTTAAATGTTAACTTGGTAGTTTACTTTACCAGCGAATGGCTTTATTTTATACTTTATTTAATCGTTTCGATTTTGAATGATATAATTATAATAAGAATATAAATTTAAATAAACCATTTTTTATAATAAACCATTTAAGGTAACACAATATTTTAAATTATAGAATAATATTGCAATTTAAAAGATTACAATGAACCTATAATGTTTTGGTGAGTCATTAAATTATGGTAATATGATTATTAATTTATATTCCTTTATTATTGAATATATCTATATTTGGCGACTGAATAAGCCTAATAAAAACCGTGTTCATCACCCTAAAAACTTTTTTGAGGTTAATTATTCTCCTCCCTTTCGACTTCTACTGCAATACGCGCGATGTTGAATAATGATAATTATTCATTTCTTATTTTATTGATCTTTTCTTATTTTTGCGTATTTGAATAATTGAGTTTAACTTTTTATTCTTATTTTATCTCTATACTCTTCTTCTTATTTTGGTAAAACTAATTTTATATTTTTTGTGTATTCATATTTGATATATTAAATTTTATATATATACTATAGATTTTTTACAGCTAAAGTAGATATAATAAATTTTGGAAAATAAAATAATATAATTCATTTTACCGATACCTAACTTTTTTACATATTAGCACGCGACTTCCACCCAAATCTCTCCATTTCAATTTTTGACCTGTTTTCGACTACAGTCACAATTCTCTCTGGCTGACCAATGTATCTCAACCCGATTCAGCTCAAAATATTTTATATTTACACTAATTAAGGAGATTTTTAAGATTTATACAACCACTTGGATGGTTAACCCTTCCACCTCTTCATACTACTCCCACTTTGAATAGGCGTCCACCGTAAGTATACATATTTTATTTTAAAAGTCAAAATATTCTATGTGTATACGCTTCCACCGCCTAAGTATTACACATCAAACAGCTCATCTTATGTTTTCAATCTCTTTTTCACCCAGGCCACCACACATTTTCGCCCCAATTGCTTCATTCGTCTTGATGCTCCGCATAATTAACACCACCATCGCATCCCCTTTTGTCTACAATCGTCAACTCGTTCTCTATATATTTAAATTTTCTCCTCCCGCCTTGCCTTTCGACCCATATTCACGCTTTAATTCGCATAAACTGCGATCTTTTAATGTAGCCTTTTTTTCGCACGTTATTGGTCCACCTCTAGATATTCCGGCCATCATTCGAATCCTGTTCATAACTTTTTTCTCCTTATGTCCTATAGTTTAAAATATGAATTATTTAAAAATATATAATTAATTTTTATAAATATATTAACCTTTTATCAACATAAAAATGACGATAATATTAGTATTTACTGAACTATATTCTTTAATAAAGTATATGTTCGAAGGTTAACGCGAATAAGTATGCTATCATATATATTATCAAGATCTTAATGGTTCGCTGAATTGTGATATTTGCACATATCAATTATCTCCCCAATTTTTTGATTATATTATAGAACATATTTTTTCCATAAGCTTACATCTTTGATATGAGCTCAAATATATTTTTAAATATTCTATTTTCCAAAAATTTCTTCGCATCAACTGTGACCACTAATCAGATATATATTGAAGCAGGTACAGCATGAATGTTGTGGTAGATAATCATAATTTTTTTCTCTTAATTATATCATAGATATTCATTGAAATCTTATTACATTTCAGAACTTTAATCCTCAAACACCCCACCTTTTTTTAGAAGAAAAAAATATTTATTGTAGGAGGGATTTTATTCGATTCATTCAATTACTTCTGAATTTGTTAATAATGCGATATCATTTTCCATGGTATTTTCTATGCTTTATAATTCGAAGTTTAAAAAATGGCGAGTATAATAAAAATATTACATATGACAACACGACTGAGCACATTTTATATAATTAAATAGTTTCATAAATATAAATAAACTAGCTAATATTATTTTATAAAAATATTAAAATTTAGGAGAAGAAGAGGTAAATTTGTGAATTACACTTCATGAGATATTCTAAATTTCTGATTTATCTATCATCGAATAAGGGAGAAGAGTATGATGGATGACCTGTCTTCCTAGATGGGAAAATGAAAAATATAATAACTAAGAGTCCCAGAGCTTCTGTTAGTCAGCCTTGCTGAGCCCGTCAAAAATGACGGGGAATGAGAATTTTCTCCTCACTTTTATGATAGTTGTTACCTGTTATTTGAAAATAATATTCATTTTATTCTTTATAATCCCTCCTCCCTTCAGGCCAGTTCCAGTCCATTAAAACTAAGTAAATGCTATGTTTTGAGTCAAAATATATTTAAAGCTTGTACTTGATATCCATATCAGTATTATTTGTTAAAATATTACTGATCATCTATGCCTAATATTTAATACTAAAAAAAATCCCAAGCAAGGTCCAAGGTCATAATGGCTTTGAAAAAATTTTCCCAAGCCCAACCAAAGATCAATAATTTTGGTGATTGAGAACTGGAATAAAATATTTTTAAAAAATCATAATGAATTTAAAAATACAATCAAAATCAGATTTTCATCGTCCTTGGTTTTTTGATCAGGCCGAGCCCAGAACTGCAAAAAAATTTGTTTTGGGTCAATATCTGATCCATAGTTAATAATAAAAAAATTTCCAAGCGTCCAAGCTGATAATAATTTTAAAATATTTTCCTCAAGCCCAGCAAATATAATTTATAAAAATATTTTCCAAGCCCAGCTCGACCCATAATAATTTTAAAAAAATTTTCTCTAACCTGGCCAATCCATAATAATTTTGAAATTTTTTACCCAAGCCTGGAGATAGGTAAATCTCTAAACACCATATCTATTTTTTATACTTTTTAATCCTATACTTCAGACAAAGGCCAACCCATTAGGACTAAGAGTGAATATTTTTTGAGTAAAAATATATTTAAATTAGTTTTTACCTGAGACTTATATAAATATTCTGTTTTAAATATTATGCCTAATATCTAATATTTAAAAAATTCCCAAGCCATGTTCATGCACATAATATTAGAAAAATTTTCTCAAGCCCACCAAAGACCATAATAATTTTGGTATTGAAAACTGAAATAAAATATACATAAAAGTCATAATTTGAAAGTTGCATGGGCCTTGGTTTTTTGATCAGGCAAGGCCATGTCAGCCAAAAAAAAAGGCCAATGTCTAGCCCATATTTAAAATTAAAAAATTTTCAAGCATCTCTATTTAAACTTTTCCCAAAATGATTTCTATCACAAATTTAATTTTATTCTAAATATAAAATTAAATTTAAGACATTATTAAATTACAAGAGAAATAAATGGCAAAATTGTAAAAATATCAGTTATGCTAACGGCAATTGAGTTGTATTAATATATATATATAATTAATATTTTAAATGCAATTATAATTCAAGTTGGTGCATGCAAGCGTGTACTTTT